TTTTTTGGGGGGCCCCCCTCCTCCTTTTTTGGGGGAAAAAAAAACCCCCTTTTTGTTTTGGGGGTGCCCCCCCCCCCCCCCCCCCCTTTCCTTTGGGGGGCAGGGGGTAAAGGGTTTAACCGTTAAGGCAGAAAAAAAAGGGGTCCCCCCCCCCCCCCCCCCCTGTCCTCCCGACTCTCTCTCGGACAAGTAACTCGAACCCCTATCTTCGTTTCCTAACCACGGAAAAATGTGTCTTTTCCTTTGACGGGATCATGTTTTGTCGTTATGACGACAACGATGACAGCAGCAGCAGCAGCAACAACAACAACAACAGCAACAACAACATTGACTTCTCCCCGTCTTCCTTCTGTTTGTTTGATGCCTCCTCCGGCGGAACCGTACCGCACCTTGCCGTACCGTGCCGTACCGTGCCGGCGGAAACGACCTCGACGAACAAAATCAATAGGCGTGCCTCGGACATGACCTTGAGCAGCGACAAGCCCAAGAAGAGCGTGGGCGACCTCACCTCCGAGGATCTCAAGGGCAAGAGGTACGTGCCCCCCCACTCGCACTACTACATAGGCTCCCGCTGTTCCTGTGTCATTTTCGCGTGGGTATGTATGGATGCGGGTTGTGTGGATGCGCGTGACATGGAGTGAGGCAATTCGTGCCCGACGGCGTGCGGTAGGGCACGACATAGGCGCCATTCTGTCGCTGCCGGCGTGGTTGTTCAAGGCTGTTGTGCGTTTTCTCGTCTGCGGAGTATTTTATCCTCTCTCAACTTAATGAATGTCGTTGGCAGTTTACTGGACATCCACCCCTACTTGTGTGACTCGACAGGGTGCTTGTCCGGTGTGACCTGAACGTGCCCCTTGACGGGTCCACCATCACCGACGACACTCGCATCCGCGCTTCTATCCCCACTGTCAAGTTCCTCGTGGACAAGGGGGCGAAGGCAAGGACAACGCAGAGTGTACTAGGGACGGGGGGGGGGTTACTCATTGCCGTGCATGCCAAAGTCGTTAGACCGTTGACCTCGCATGCCTACAAAGCTGGAACAGAGCACGCCAGGTTCTCGCCGGATTGAGCCCTGGGGCAGCTAACCACAGGTCGACATGGAGCTGATTTGAAGTGAAGAACAAAAAAAAAAAAAAAAAAAATGGAGCGCCCTCGAATAGGCGAGAGGGTGCAGAGAGAGGCATTTTCTCTTGACCGTTGTTGGCGTGTTTCGTCACGCTGGCGGGTATATGGGTGCTTCGAAAACTTCGTGGTACCACCCCCCGCGCCCCGCGTTTTGCACCCCAGGTGGCCCCCAAGAAAAAGGGCAGACAAAAAAATGCACCTACAACATGGACAAGGACAGCAGGAGGGGTCACGCTACTGCTGTACCGTATGCCACAAACAAGAGGCAGGCAATCTTTGTTCAACGACTTTTTCCTGCGCATCTCTTGCGTGTTTATGTTTTTTTTGTATTCGATCGTTTTGATTGGTCAGGTGCTGCTTTCGTCGCACCTCGGGCGGCCGAAGGACGGGCCGGAGGACAAGTTCTCGCTCGCGCCCGTGTCCGAGCGCCTGACCAAGCTCCTGGGAAAGAAGGTCACCATGGCGCCGGACTGCATCGGGCCTGAGGTAGGCAAGGCGGCGGTTGCCGTGTCGTTTGCAGGCCGTTTTGTTTCGCTTCGCGGCGGTTTCGTTTCGAGTATTGCGTGTTGTTTCGCTGCTCTTGGCGTCGCGTTTTTTCTCGAGATTGTGCGGACGTCGGGAGTGCAGCAGGCCGCTGCTTTTCTATTTTTCAAGCGGAGGATGGATACCACCTTTTGTTCACCTTCGTACATCAAGTCATCCAACTGCCTTCCTTTTTTCATCCTGTGTCTTGTGTTCATCGTGCCGGTTTATGTATGCATGCCGTCGTTTTCGCGTTGCCCCCGTGGTGTTTGTTGACCGGTCAGGTGGCTTCGCTGGTGGACGACATGAAGAACGGAGGCGTTCTCCTCCTCGAGAACGGTGAGACAAAAAAATACTGTACATGACAACGCCCGAACTGGTTTCATGATCAACAGAGCAAATTAATTGTGAAAAATGTTTTCACCGGAGAGTTAGACGCAGAATCTAGAGACATGCTATCTTTTACAAAATATTGGACGAACTGAAAAATACCGCAGTCTTATGCCGCCCATTGGTTGAGTGCGGGTGCTGAGCTATACCGCGTCTTCGGGCGTGCGAAGACACGAACGGAAGAGTATTGTTCGAGTGTTTCGTGGAGGAAAATGTTCCGACCTTTGACTTTCCGAATGCCGTAGCGGATGGATGTGGCGCACGGAAACTAGCGTCGAAAAATCCATCCACCCTGTTATCAGGGGTTGTTTTGGCCACGTGTGAAACCATGACAAGTCGTACGTGTGGTTGTCCGCCCCGTGGAATCACCGTCCATCGGATGTTGATCCCCCCCCCCACTTTTTTATCTCTATTCGTACCCACCCACTCTCTTGTTTCTCGTTCTGTTTGTCTTGTCGGCATCACTGTTGTTGTTGCTAATGAAGTCCGGTTCTACAAGGAGGAGACCAAGAACGACTCCGACTTCGCGAAGAAGGTATATACCTCGAGCTAGCCCATGAAACTGGCACCCAGGGCTGTTTGGGCAGTTGGAGCCAACTGTCAAGGGGCACCCCAAGGTCACTTGTGGGCGGGGCGGGGCGAAAAAGAACATCTTGCATGATGTACATACAGAGGAACAACGTCTGTCGATTTTTGACCTACTCATCAATGTGGGAAGGTGATGTTGGAGACGATACGTTGCAACGCCACTCTCTTTCGTAGTCAAGCATAGGGTGATGAACCATGTGGAACTTTTTTGTTCGTTCGGCAGTTTTGTTTTCTTAGCACCAGGTTTGTAGAACCCCCCCGTCCTCCCTGCGCATGACCTCCTTTGGTGAACCGGTTTGATAAAAAAACCTGGCAGGCAACAGATACCGTTCCCTGGAACGACGCATGCAGGAACGAACGTCGTTATTTAGGGTATCTGTAGCGCGTGTTTCATCCGGTAACCTTCGCCCTCGCCCCCTCTCTTGGTTTGCTTGTTTCGAGAGCAGCTGGCGGCGAACGCCGACCTGTTCGTGAACGACGCCTTCGGGACGGCTCACCGCGCCCACGGCTCTACGGAGGGGGTGACCAAGTACGCAGGAGAAGGACAGGGGGCAGGGGCGCATGCACTCAACAACAAAATACGTGCTTGTCTGTAATTGCCTCCGTGTAGTCAGTAGTGTGGACGAAGCCCCAGTTCGATGGAAATGTGAAAACCAGCGTGATTCGGGGCTCGACCAGAGTGGCACGTCGCGTGGCGTGGGGGGTAGAATGTTTTGGGAACCGTAGCTGGAGTTCGCGTGGAAGTATGCTTAGCTGCCGGCCTTCAACTGCTGCTAGCTGTACATCATCGCCAAACACATACGGCTGGAGATTGTGTTACGATCGACCAACACTCGCCAAGGTATGATGCTCCAGCGCTCTCACGGCTGATGGTGACGCGTTTCTCTCATCGTGCCATCCTGCATCGTGTGCCTTTGGCAGGTACCTCTCGCCCTCTGTCGCCGGGTTCCTGCTGCAGAAGGAGCTAGACTATCTCCAGGCAAGAACTAAGTTAGATATAAATTTTGTAGTGGGTGGGGGATGCGTGCCACGCTTGCTTGTGTATTTCTCTTAGGTGTGCTAGGTTCGTTACCCCACGGCAGCTTGACGGCTTGTCGGGAGGCGTTGGTCCTACGTGTTGGTCACCACTTGAAAATTGAAAATCGATGTCGTAGGACGCTTTCAACAATCCCATACGCACGAATCCAATTGACGGTCGTGCGTCTGATCTTGAACCGCGGAAGAACACATGAACATTTGTTCGCCAACCAGGTGGCGTATCCTGACCACATAAGTTCCGGCTTGTTTGCCGCCGTTCCCTTCATTGGTGGTCTTGTCGTTTCCTTCTTTGTTTTGGGGGTGGTGTACGGGTTCAGGGTGCGGTGGCCGAGCCCAAGAGGCCGTTCGCGGCTGTCGTGGGCGGTTCCAAGGTGTCCTCCAAGATCGGCGTCATCGACTCCATGCTCAACAAGGTTGGTTGGTCGCTCTATAGTGTGTGTGTGTGCGTGTGATTTTGTTGTTCGCCTGGACGTGGTGTGCGTTGCCCGCTTGTTGTTGTTTCGTGGGTTATGTCTGAGGGCGGAGCTCCTCTCCCTATTTGCAACACAAAGCAACTACAGCACTACTTGAAGTATCAAATACGAATAGACAGAACTGGCGTATTTCGGCACTAAGCAATATGGAGGGGGCAACAACACCGCCATTATGTTAGCCATTCCCATCTCGGATCAAGCACGATCAAACACGCCAGACACACCCATCTCCTGTGAACTACTCTACTTTCGACGGATTCCGTTTCTGGATTGCATTGATTAGCTATAGCTGTCCACTTTTTTTCCGTTGCAACATCACTACAGTGTCTCTCGGTGCGATTCTTATGCGTTCCAGATATTTCCTTTTTTGACTCGCAAGTTTTGCCCTGCTTGTTGTCGCGAGGCGAGGCGTTTGAGAACGACCAATACTCAAACCTCCCAACAGCCACACCAAAATGTTTTCGTGTTCACCCTTGGCATGCCGATCCAATAAGGTGGACATGCTGGTGATAGGCGGAGGCATGGTGTTCACCTTCCTCAAGGCGCGGGGATTGAGCGTGGGATCTTCCCTGGTTGAGGACGACAAGCTCGACCTCGTAAGTCAGCTCGAAACGAAACCGCCGCGCCAAGTTTGATACCATGACATGTGAGGGTGCCGCGCTGATGCTGTGGGTGCTGCTGCTGTCCATCGCTCTAACCCTCCTATGCGTAGATGTGTAGCGTTTTCTCACCAGCCTTGGCCACTTGAGTGATGTTCAACAGATGTGTTGCGTGTACCGCAGTTGATGCTGTGGACACCGACCGGAAATTCGCAGACGTATGATACCGGAGGCACCGCCGTCGATCGGATCGGCTGTAACGCTTCGGGTCGTAACTCTGTCCTGGCCTGCGTCGGCCTTTGACTTGCCGTTGAGTGGTGGCGGTGGGTATGTGTATTTGCAATCGATCGATTGGCATGTGTGCATAACGATCAGGCGCGCGAGCTCGAGAAGACGGCGGCTTCCAAGGGCGTCGAGATCATCTTGCCCACGGACGTGGTGTTGGCCGACGCTTTCTCCGCCGACGCTAACACACAGGTGACTCGACTGACTCCAAGGGGCAAGTGCGCACGGTTGGCAGTGGTAGCGATGGTGGCAGTGGCACGATTTAGGAGGTGAACTATAGTGGTGGTCATGATGGCCGGCGGTAGTTTCGTCCCTGGACGGTGATTCGGCTGTCCGGTTTTCCCCCACTACTGGTTTACGATAAAATTAGCACCCGATATATGTAACGCGTCCGATCGACCCAACAACACAACCGTCGCGTCGGCCCTCGGTTATCAGAATCAGCGTTCTGTTCCAGAAGGAACTCCGTGTTCACTGTGATTTCTGTGGTTCATGAGCGCCTCGGCCTGGTGCGATGGTATGCTAGTCTGCTCCCGATGTTTAGCGCGAGCCGCCCACTGTTACATGAACGCGACTAGTGGCGATGAATGCACCAGACGATAACATTTTTTCCCGATCACCGGCGACCGCGACAACAACAGCTAAGTGCAAAAAAAACGGTGACACATTTTTAGGTGGCGTCGGTGGACGCCATCCCCGACGGCTGGATGGGGCTGGACAACGGGCCCGACTCCACCTCGCTCATCCAGGTTGGTGATTCTTTTATCATGTGTTGTCATTCATTTTTGTGTGGGATACATGGCAGACGGACCGACCGTGTGGTGCACGGAAAAAGAAAGGCATCTCCACGGAATACGCTCTACATGGCGTACTAGATGCTCATCGCCAGAGATGTATGTAGTCGTCGTTGCAGGAGCAAGCGGCGGGTGTTTGCCGGGCCCGCAGGAGCGCCTGCGCACTTGTTAGTGTGTGTTTTACAAAGGCGTTGCCTGACCCGTTGCGTTGTGAAGATGGTTTGATTGACTAGCAAGCAGTTCTCAGCCCTCCTCGACCCCTTTCAAACACGTCAGGGTAAGCTGGCCGACTGCAAGACGGTGATCTGGAACGGGCCGATGGGAGTTTTCGAGTACGAGGCGTTTGCCAAGGTACGCGTGAATCTTTGTCAGTAACCCATGCGTACATTAAGGTTATCAACGGTGTTCGTTTCTTTCGTGAGTACATCAAGGATATCAACGGATCTGGCTTTTTTTTCTGGCCACCCACGCGACTACAGACAATCCTATCCCTGCGATCTCACTGTGTTTGCGTTGATCTCCACCTTTTCTTTTAATTGGAAATCTTGTTTTCGGAATCCGCCCCCCCCCCCCCTTCCCCCCCCGGGAAAGTTTGGCGTGGGTGAAAATCTTGGAGCGGCCCCGGGGAAAGGGTGGCTCACCATTATCGGAGGGGGAAAATCCGTGGGTGCTGTCGAAAAGGTGAAGAGTCGAACACTACTGTACACCCTTAATCGAACGATTTAACGTTTTCGTTTTCAATTTGCTTGTTTCAAGAAAGTACCGGAATGAAAATCGTTATTTCGTCCTATTTTTGTAACAGTTCTTGCAGGGACGCCACGAACCCTGTGTAGTGGTCTTTTTCAAGTGTATTTCTGGGAAAGCTTCGCCTTCTCGCCGTTTGTTCCCCTTTGTAACTTTAGTTAACCTCCTTTGACAACACCTGTTAAGCATGACGCTTTGTGTTTTTCCGATGATCCCCTTGCGACCATGTTGTTTGTTTGTTGTTTATATTAACATGGAATCGAAATCAATCGAAATGAAACGTCAGGCTGGACTCGCGGACAAGATGTCGCACATCTCCACCGGCGGAGGCGCGTCACTCGAGCTTTTGGAGGGGAAGGTTCTGCCGGGTGTTGCTGCGCTCGACCCCAAGGACTAGTGGATATTCATGCATTGACATGTGTTCGATCGAATCGACCCTGAGTTGCCAAATGGGTCCAGAATTGATAGGATGCAATCCCTTTCCGCAGGCGAACCAGCTTCGCTTCTTCTCCGCTTGGCTCTGACTGGTCCCAATCAAGAACATTCTGGCCCCGCCCATGATCGGCGTTGATCAGGTCAGATCACAGCTTCTCAGCACTTGCGTCGTTAGGGCAAAACGGAGGCTACGCTGGAGTAGCGACCACATCCGCCCAGACTTGCTTTATTTTGTACCTCGGCGGTGTTTTGCGGCTTTTCGGACGAGAGCGTGGGACTTTTGGGTCGCATAGCGAAAAGAGTAGTCGGTCGTTACCACATGTACAGTATTTTCCCGTTTTAGGACAAGTTGGCGGCATTGACCGACAAGCTATGTCGTAGTGTTGTGTTTATTTACGGCGGCGCCGTGGTATTTTTTCTTTTTTGCGACAACGGGTGCGGGAATGACCCATCGAGGCATCGAGGGGCATTCGTCGGCTGCCCTTTGCTAAACTTGACTCCGACCAGCTAGCCGATTCCATCCTCTGTTTTGGGACACGCTTTGTGGTATCTAAGGTGTGCGTCTTTAGCATCAAGTGAAGACACGGAATCTATCACAAACATTTCATGAACCAACCACACATGCCAAGAGATCACATAGCCTCCCTTTACGTATCGAGACTTGGCTTGATCTGAACAGGGTGTCACAGCAGACTGTTTAGAGGTTACCAAGAGGTCAACACTGGTGGCCAGAGGGGCAGGTTGGGCACGAACTACAACCTGGGGGGGGGAGGTTGGAAGGCCGAGTTCGACGTTGAACCCATTTTTTCTTCAGGCTTGCAGCCCGCCGTATTGATTGGAACAACGCCACTATCCAAGATGCGGGATACCTTGCACGCTTTGGGCTGCAACCTCCCTACAACCTCCCCCCCCAGGTTGTAGTTGGTGCCCCAACCTACGCACAACCTGCCTCTGGCCACCCGTGAAGTGATGTACATGAGACCACTGAGTACCGTTTATTTTTCGATGTCCCGATCACCACATTCTCGGAATTCCTTCGTACACAATCGACCGTACACCTGCTTGGTGTCAAGCCAGTCAGTCGTACCGCGAACAAATTCTTCGTCAAATAAACCAAAGTCTATGCTGCCCCCCAAAACCTACGGAGTAGCAGCTACTTCGGACCAGCTGTGTTCCGATTGAGGAGTTTCTCCGCCCAATCGTTGACCCGTTCTCTCTCTACACTCTCCCCTTCGCGCTCCAAGCGCTCGAAGCATCGCGTAGCCACCGCGGCGGTCTCCGTGAGGTGGGACTCCCAACACCGCCAGTCTACCCCGCGATCGACGGCGAGAACCACTCCGTGCCCGATGACCACGTTGGGACCCCTCTTCTCGGTCTCCCGCACGCGCCCATTAAGAAAGGGGACGATGACGTGACCGGTGTGAAGCATAAATGGCCGCGGCGTTGCTCGAGGCAATAACACGAGGGGTAGCGGCGATGATAGTGTCGCTGCGGTGTCGGACCCCGCGACGGCGGCGGTGCCGGAGGTCCCGCTCCCTACGGTGGCGGGGGCGGTGGTGGCAGCGATGTCTCGGGACCGGAATCCGGGACCGCCCCCCCCGCCGCTGGCCAACCCGTAGTCGGGCATGCCGCCAGCCGACGTACACGCTGTCCATTCGTCCGCCAACAACCGGAGGCGCTGGTCGGTCCAGCCGTCGTCGTCTCCAAACACGCCTCCGCCACCCTCGCCATTTTCGCGCAGCCATCGGGCGGCGCACGCCGCCTCGTCCCTGCCCGGTACCCGCAGAGACCGAAGAATCACGGCGGGCGCACCCGACCACGTCTTCCCGACGATCCGCTCGCAGAAGTAGGCCCCGACGCGGATGTCTCCACCGTGCCCGGCAGGGCCACCAGAGTCTACGGTTAACGAACCGATGCTGCCCATGTCTCCGTCTACTGTGTTGCTGCCGTCGACGATGCTGGCTTCGTCGTCGACGGCTACGTCGTTGTTGTCCTTCCGAGTCTTTATTGGTGGAGGAGGTGGTTCGGGCTCGAAGACTTTTTTGTGGTCGGGGATCGAAGAGACGTGCCACACGTCCGCGGCGCGAACCCAGGGCAAGCCCTCGGTGAGCGCCTTGACGGCGGCCGAATAGATTTTGCAGACCGCCTGGTTGATGTCGCAAAACGAAACAGGAACGAGGACGCCATGAAACGCGATCGAAAGAACGACTCAGATTGTTCATCGATGCTGATCGGGGGGGTTCACAGGTATGCTCGTTGTCGAAAGCCTTTCAAAACTGAAAACTTAGGAAAAACTAGGAGGGGGCAGGGGCATCCCCCGCAGCAGAACAGACAACCATGTGGTTGTTCAGTAACGAGCAACAACCGTTGGTGATGCCCACACTTTTCATCGATATCCACAGACTGCACACACGAAGGAGGTTGTCCGCCATCTTTTAAGCTAAATCACGCATTTTTCGCCCCTGTTAGTCCTGTTGCGGTTGAAACTCAACCCAATATGTTACCTCGTAGGGGCAAGGCCAACGGAGAATGGATGTCATGTCAAGCGAGCCCCAGCTCGACAAACGGACTTCGTCTAATTCCGGCCGACGTATACTTCTGGGCGGTGACGAGAACTGTCCGCGATTGTTGCTGTCTCCAATCGGGATATTCGTTGTCCTTTTCACGCTCCTGCTGGGGTGGAAGCGGCGGCGTCAGAACATGCCGGTGACTCCGCCCGGGTAACGTGGGCCACCATCACAACATTCTTCTGTCAACCGTGAGAACTTATTTCTCAGCTCTTGAAACCACTCAAATCGCCCCCCCCCTGCTACTACTCATGAACAAACGTTTTCATCGTTGAACCCTCTTCAAGCTGCTCGGGCTCAAAGCATACCGCCAGAGGCTCATACGTATCGTGCTACCGGTGTCCGAAAGATGTCGGTCGGTTAGACCAGGCGCAACTTCGGACCCAACAGGTCGACAACACTCTTAGCGGAGCAACAGACGGCGGGGATATGACTATCGGACTCCGTGTGAGGGCGTGATCACGAAGCCTCGACCACCTCATCTTGCTGATCCTTTCGTGTTGCCCACCACTGCTGTTGTTAGTTCTGCTTACTACGTACATATAAATACATGTGCACACCTGGTCCCTGGCACGGTGGATGTCCCTCGTATGCTGGTTTCCTGCTGCCCACCCACCCGTGGAGGTGACGGCCGTACCGGGGAACGAGGAGAACCCAACCGAGATCGATTTTTTCCCCCACGGCCTTCGCCGGGACTGGTGTATCTACTATACCCACCCCCTTCCACCCTGATTCTCGTAACTAAGCCTTGGTTCCGGAGCTGAAACGCGGCGGTGCCCAGGGCCACACCGACCCTTCTTGCGAAGTCAACGACGCCCGCGCCGACCGTGTAGCGAACGCGCTGCCCTCTTCCCACTTCTCCAAATGTTGGCGTGTCTTCGTGTGAGGCACCGTGCCCAGCAGTATACTTCTCCGGTCGCCTTGTAGAACCTACCCGATGGCCGTGATTGATTTGTCGACCGCCGCCGCCGCCACGCCGGGTTACAGGCGACTGTTTCGCGTACGGTACGTCGGCAATCGTAATGAGACCAATGGAGCCGACGCCGTGGGCCCATAATGGGGCAAGCACGAAGGCGTTGGCAGTCTTTGGGCCAATGGCTTCACGGAGCAGGGCCACCGACGTCTCGAGTGCGGTACTGGACGAAACGTGCTTGTGCGGCATTGTCTGGCTCCGTTGTGAATGTTCGAGTCGAGGGAAGCACATAACCAGGGGAAGGAGGTGGAAGCGTGTACTAAGACATCAGGATGTGTTTCGAGTTCGATGAGGTCGAAAAACAAAAACACAGGAAGGGAGTCAGTTAATCGAAAGGTGAGGTCGATGTTGATGATGTTGAAATCGATAAAGGGTGGTTTCGGATTGATCGATATCATTACTCAGTGACAGCCGAAGTACTTAACACAAACAACAGAAGTTCGGTAGACATGATGCGTGTGAGACAGACACCAACACGAGGGTGGCACCCGACCTCGACCCTCTGCTGGCTAACCGCAGTCAGTTACTTCCACGATACCAGATATCTGAGCAAGCGTTAAGCCTACATAGATTGATTCAATGCGACAGTTGTCGTGCTAACACACGCCGAAGAGGAAGAAACACCATCCCCGTGCCTGATCCCGCCGCCCACACTCGAGTGTCAACCAAGGTACGGCTGCACTTTACCTCTTGCAAGATGCTGCTCCACGAGACGTTGGCAACGTAGACGGTGCTTTCGATGACGAGGAAAATATCGCCTCGTTCTACAGCGCGCTTGACCAGCCCGCTCGCCATCGGCAGAGGCCCGGACCACCGCCCGACAGACTGAATTTTGGTGCAACAACAATTAGTAGGAACGAGTCACGGGCGACACGCATACCCGCGGACGACCTTTGTGCAAATCGTACACACTTGACCATCAACTGCACAACGTCTGGTAGGTTTGTCGCCTCCTTGCCCGGAATGTTCGTAGGTCTACACCTACATCAACTCACGCGAACAAGCTCTTCGGCTGGAAATTAAAAGGATATTGAAAGGCTACGTGAATAGCATTTTATAGGTTGTACCGCAGATCGAATATTGCCCACACACCTCCAAATCGCCGGCCGAAGTGACAAACCGGGCCCCAGCTCCGCCGCTCGCGCTGATCGCCGCCGAACATTGGTTGAAGGCGTGCCCGTCGCTCCACCCGGCCGATGACGCCACCTCATTCAGGCGGTATCCTCCACTGGAAAGGAGGAACACAGCTACCGGCATGTCCCGTAGAGGGCCATCGACCTCCGGTCCGGCCCCGCTACAGGCGGGATTCAGCGTTGACACCACATCGCTGAAGAGGCCTGCGTTAGGTGTGGGGGTTGGAGTATGAGAGAATATCAGTTGCAAGAACAACAATGTCGACTTGGGAAGACGGAGGGTGTGTGGAATTGACGAGCATTGTGTATCGCATCAACTACTTGGGGATGCAAACGCCTAACCCGACCTGCCGCGGAGAGTCGATGTGGTATGTCACCAAACGCCCATAGGTGGACGGGGCGTTTTTACAAGAGCAGGAGCCAAAATTTCAAGGTGAAATTGGCTGGACGCTGGACACTCGCGAAGGATGTTGTGAACTTCCGGCACGCGTCACACACAGCCTCCCTCTCACGCAACATCTAAAAAAATACGTGTACCAGAAACAAAGACATGATTTTAGTTGACCCTCTTCTCCAAATCAACCTTCGTGGTGTTGTTTTCTCTTGAGGCAAAGCGTTTCGACGCTTTCGGCGCAGCGATTCATCAAGTACTGCCGCGATCGCCGCTTGTGAACGACACTGCAAGCCTCGTCCGCCGCTCTAGCCAGTTCCAACGCAACAGCGACATCCTCCTTGCTTATCTGTTGATTCGAACGCAGACAGCGGTACAATGGCAGACTCATCAGCAGGAAAGGTTGTGCAAACTGGAGCATCTCGGTTTTATTCTTTGAGACTTCTTTCCGGCAATGTCTCACATTTCTCTACAAGCGTTAGACCGATTTAGCTTTGTCTCGCACGATGTTTGTTTCGTGGCATAGATGGAAGCGGATAAGGCTACTGTTGCCATTTACACGGTTGGCTACTTTTGCATCGTTGACAGACCTTGCCGAACTCTTGCGTACCGCACTACCACCTACGCTCGCAGTAAGAAGTCTCAGTCATATCGACTTGAAGTCACAAGCCAATTCAGCCCGTTGGCGAAGCTCTTTTCTCACACCTGGCCCGGCAGACAAGGGATGACGATGACATGCCTCGGTCGTTCATCCGCCCCTCGGACCACGACGTCAGCACTGTCTTTCTCGTGACGCAGCCGCTCCCTCCTCCCCGCAGTTTCCTCCCCAGCGGCTTCTTGATTGCCAGACCGCGAAACACTATCACCCACCTCACCACCACCAACACTACCGTCACTGTGTATCCTGTCTGTGGGGATGGGTTGGAGCAGCACGACGAGTCGGTCCCGAGCCAGGTCGTCACTGCCGCTAGCGGCCATCACAGTGTGCCCCCCCGCTCCGCCTGCCCTGCGGGCAAGACTGAGGACCTGTCCTGCGAGGACCTCGGGGATAATTGCCGCAGCTCCATTTGTCATATCCGAAAACCTGGCCGCCGCCGGTCCCGTGATCACGGAACCTAATTCAATGGACGCAACAAGCGTTGGTCATAGTCTATGCCGGACAGCAAATGATATCAGGAAAACACGGGAATCAATCAGGCTTTGTGGACTTCAGGACGGGAGAAACTCAATATTGAGCGCTGGATGCTGCTCGTTCGAATATTTTGTACCAGTGATATCGGAGCAGAAACACTCGGCCCCCTGGCCACTACACCATATCGCACTACCAATATCACACCTTCCAGCTTGTCGTGCAGAGCCTGCACCCTGGACAGCATCCGCGGCACGTGGATGCCCTCCCTCTCTCTCCTTCTCCTCGCCTCGTGGGCATCCTCAGCCACCTTGAACTTCGACGCCGCGTACCCAGCGCGCGCCCGCGGTGCCCCCGGCTGACGCACGCCTCCGCCGAGCGCCAGTCCCCCTTCTTGATCGCTGTATTGAAAGAGTTCTAGCGATACGGTCAGCGTCCCGGTGATAGTGTCGTCTATCTGGAGGTGCTTTTGGACGCTGTGCATCATCCTGCTCGCGAACCCCCCCGCCGTTCCTGCCCCCCTACCATGGCGGGTGTCGCGGTGTGTGCTAGGTACCCCTGCGGCGGGGCTCAGAGCACCGCCACTGCTGGTGGCTTTTAACCCGGCGGGACCAGCATCAACAGCGGCGGCGGCGGGGTTGACAATTGCCGCCTCGGTGCCGCCCCTTTCCATCACTCTTTCCCTGTCGGCGTTTGAAGGATCTGCTGGGCCGTTGAGAGGGAGCAGCGGCAGGGTAATCGGGGTTTCCACCCCTCCAGGTCGCGGATGGAGGACTGCCACAGTAGGTATGATAGCCCGCCCAAGAAAGTCGCTGTGTTTGCGTCAGGTTAGGTTGCGAGAGAGGAGGGGGAAAGTATTATCAGACGATACCGCCACGGTTCACGTTGTCTCTCGCTTTTTGCGACACATTTGTTGAACACTCACGGTCTACGAACTGAAAAACGGTACCCATGTCGTTCGTAGACACGACGTGTAGCGGGGTCGGTAGAAAATATAAGACTGCCAAGGTTGGCACAACTCATGTGGTCATTTCGCTGTCGCATACCTCAGCTGAGCTTCCTCTCCCTCACCCGGCGAGAACTCTATAAGCGAGAGTTCTGTAACGACGGGGGCGGCGTTGTTGTCAACTCACCCTCGTTTGGTGCCTGCGCAATCCATGTCCCAGATGTCAACGTGCAACTGGCACAAGCTCCGGTCCCGGGGAAGGCGGAGCGTGAAAGCCTCCTTTTCGCGGTCCCAGCAAGGGTCACTTTGATCGTACACCGTGGACGTCGATCCGGCCTTTTCACCATTCCAGACGATGAAGCACTTCGGATCGGAACTTCCGTATCGATCGGCCTGGGCTTGTTGAGCAATGTTTGCATGTATGGGTGGGGAGCTCACACAAACAAGGTACAGCCAAGGTTGAGGCCCACCACTCTCTACCGGTTATACCTGATGTTTCGAAGTATTGCTTCCAAGTCGCGCCGCAACAAGCAGCGCCGCACTGCCCTGTATAGTCCAAACTATATCCAAGCATATAACGATGGCTTTTCAGCGATAGTCGGTGTTGAAAGGCTCACCCGGAATTCGGGCGTCTCTCTTGTGGGCCAATGTTATCAATTGTTGCACTGGTTAGAACCATACCCTACAAAGCTAGTGGTTATCTCTGGCGGTTCCCTTCGCCGGTCTGTAGGCAACGCACAGGGGGTTACAGGGACCACGGAAGGCGTTCATTTGGACATGCCCCGGATCTATTCCGTGGACTGTGTACGGGAGCAGAGGAACTTCGCCAGAGGCCGTGAGTTGACCGCTTCGTCCATGGAATCCACTGCTGTGGCAGTAGTACACCATTTTTCTGCTACCGTTCACGAAACGATGTCCATATATTACAGTACCGTTCGTCCCATGTGCCAGTGTTGACAAACACAGACCCATACCTTTCGCAGTCCCGACGCAGAGTGTATCCGAAGTATCGCGTATCCCTCCCCAGGCTGCTGGCCGCTAGTGCTGCCCCTGCGGGCCTTTCCAAGCCAGACGTGAACCGAACTCGAGCTTAGTGTCCGATGCTGGCCCGAACCGGTGTCCCCCCCCCGCTTTCGTGCACCCCTTCCTTTCTTGAACAGCCCAATGCCCCATGGACTTCTTCCCCCCGGTTTTGCACTCACGGTGGTGGTTCCACCGGCAGGAGCGGGAGTGGCGTCAGGGTTCTTGGATTCGGTCCCAACGGCTGCTGCATCCTCCGCACGTCCACCGCCTCCGACCTTGTGTTCGGCCTTGCCCCCCGCCTGCCCATCTTCGCGGCTATCCCCTCCTGCGGCGAGGGGAATCCAGGCGTCCCCTGGAGGGTGGTCGATGTACCGCGTGGGCACCGTCGCAGTGCCCACGAGGACATCCCTGCGCCCTCCCATCACCGTCCCCTTGCTCCATACGCTTATGGTAAGGGAGGAAGCGCCCGCCGCCACCTCCTGCCCGTGATGTGGTTGCTGGCTATGCCGGCGCAAGGCCGAAGCCGGGATGCTCAACACGGACACAGGAGCGCCGCCGTCTAGGTCCGCGCCCAAGGTTGCGTCGCCGGCTCCCTCACCATCACCCCCAGCCTCCGCGAACAACCGTGTCACTTGCTCGCCGTGCCTTGCCGTAGCCAGTGATGGCGGGTCTCGCTCACCAGCGGGAGTGGCAGCACCCGTGGCATTGGTTGTGTTGACAAAGCCTACACTGTTCGGAGCGGGCTTTGCTCCCTTGATGTCTTCGATCGCCACGCGGAATCGTTCCTCGGGCGCTTCCCATACCAACTCCGGGTTACGCTTCACTTGGCGGGTTCTGTCCACCTCGCGCTGCCCCACTTCAAGTACGCAGAAATATTTTGAGTCTCCAAACTTGTGGGCCTGGAAGCAAGCAGGAGCCAAGCAGGAGCAGTTGTTGTCGACGCACGAGAATATCGATTTAATGTCGTCTCGTACGCCATTGAACACTACACACTAAATGTCAACAAATCACGAGAAGCTTGACGCGTTCTCCGACCACGTGTCGAGGCACCGAAAATACCAACAACACGGATAGGTAAAGCCAGAGTTTGCGCTCTGCTTGTTTCAGTTGGCCTGCTTAGCAAGTCTATATCGCCCTTGAAATGTCGGGAAGAGCCTGTATGGTCATTTCCGAGGTACTACGGTAGTATTCATTGGTACTACAAGAGTGGACTTTACCTCTCTTACGCCAACAACCTCCTTCAAGCTAACCAGAAGGTCTTGGGGCACTGCGTCTGAAAGCCCAGCGTGCGCCATGTCCCCGTCCTTAGAGGCCAGTTCCACGGTGCCGAGGGTGATGCTGCCGGCAGTGCCCAGGCTGGCGCTACTAACGGTCGTCATGCCCACGCTGACCGTGCCCAAGCTCTTGGCCTCGGGCATGTCGTCTTCGTCCCACGTGACCCCTTCCCACTCGGTCGTCAACCGCTGCTCGGCGACAGGTTTCTCGGTGGCCGCCGCCGCAGCAGCAGACGCCGCATGTTGTTGTTGCTGGCCCTTGGGCCCCTTAGCAGCTACCGCGGCGTTTGTTCCTCCTTCAGCAAAATTTCCCGTCTCTGCGCCCTTGTTGTTGTCCCGCCAGGCAGGTGTTCCCGTCGTCGCCTTGCCGTCGCTGCCGTTCTCCGCCTTCCTACAAGCCCCACCAGCGAAAGACGCAGCCCCTCCTTTGCCGGCTTGAACTCTGTCCGTTGCGGACGCTTTTGACGTGTTGCCCTTGACGGTTTCCGAGAGCGCAGTAGTACCACCGCTTTCTGCGATGGCGGCGGCGGCGGCAGCGGCTGCGGCGCGCGAGGTTTCTAAGGAGAACTCCACCATCCCTTGCACGAGCTTCTGCTTGGAAAGCTTCAGCTCGGCCGCGGGTTTTCTCGACAGCACGATCCCTCGGGGTCCCGGGGCCGGGTCTTCCAACTTGTTGGCTTGCAGGACAACCTTCACGACCACAGGATTCAACGCCAAAAGTTGGAACACGTTTGTTAAGAACCAAACCTCTAACATTCGACGAGGTAAAGGCGGGCTCCGGACGAGCGCCTCGAGGTACTTGCTCTACGTCCCTTGCGGGTTGTCGACGCCAGTTGTTTTTCTTGCTTGTCGCGGCTAAGGGCCCCGGGCCGCTACGGTTGAAAAGTAGCCGATGTCGCAACAAGATTCACATAAAAAGCAAATCTAGACACTGCGTTCGCCGTTGGGTAGTCCAGTCCTATGTCTTTCAACAGTGCTTCGATGGCATTGAGGAAGTTTTCATACACACTACGTCACATGTTTGCTTTGGATCGACTATCGAGCATCGTTGCGGCGTAATACGGAGGCGCCGGAATCTGCACCATTCAGTGAACGAAGGCTGCTTTCTGCTGAAGTCACATGGCTGTTTCCCATGGTTTGCGTCAGGCTACCGACACCACTGGGAAAGGGTGAGGTTACCAAGGCAGGGCACGGTGGTGGGGTTTAGAATCACCTGCCCCAAGAAATCGCCTTTAGTCCCCGGCATGTCTTCGTCCCAAACCTCCAAAATTAGCGGCAGATGCTTCTTTTTGTCGTTGGGTTCTTCGGCTGGCAGAGCAAGTCGAAACCTCTCATCGCCCCATTTCGGCTCGCGTGTGTTTGGGCAGGTTTTCGTGCGCCCCAGCTCGACCCCTCCCCACTTGACGACGCAGTATGGATCCGAGTCGCCGAGGCTTTTAGGTTTTGTCGAGGGACGGGGAGGCGTTTCGACGCATGTTCTCAATGTCTGTCGTTGATAAGTTGTGCCATTCCATAGTTTGCAACTAAGTGTTTGTGCGAACGGAATATATTGTCGAGCTGGCAGAGTGTGGCAGTGCTGCGAGGCAAACCGTGAAGGACCAGGCACGCGCCTAGAGCTGAGTGGCATGACTTGAACCAAAGCAACCGAGGAAACCTCGATCGCGCTCTCCTTCTTTATGTGAAACTCACCGATCGGCTTTTGCTAGGCCAGACGCCCCATGAATGACCAGTGTTGTGTAACCTCGGCCCCAACCGAGTTCCTCCTTGGAGCCTCCACCTTCACCGGGCTCTACCCAATCCAAGTGGAGAACAAGCTGTCCCATGGGACGGGCTGATTTTACCGTTGTCGCGTCTTTTTCTTCATCTGTTCCCTGCCCATCGGTTTCAGAACCACTCTCTTCGCCATGTGGTTAATGGCGATGGTTATCCCCCGCCCCGCAACGAGACAGTTGTTGTGTTTTAGTGCGCGTTTGGAATAAAAACATTCGTGCAATGCATGGCACGTCCAACACCGTGACGATCGCAGGTGGCTACCGTTACCGCCGGCTAGACGGACGAAGTGTTGCGCTCGAACGAGGAACGCGTCGGTCACCAGGCAACGACTACAAATAACAGTAGTGTTACTCCCGTTTCACCCGCTTCCTCACCCGCTCTCCTCGTCGAAGAACCCCCACCATCATCCATATCATCATCTCGATGCCCCGATGAAAACAGTTGAACGTAGTTGTATCCGTCTCTAACAGCGTTGATATCGACCGAGGCGTAGGCCAGGACAATCTCACTGTTCGCTGCTAATTCCGCCGCTCCTCCGACCCCCCTCCCGGTAGGCGTCACCCCCTCCGCCGGTGGCGCTTGTAGTTGTTGTTGCTGCCCCCTCCTCTCGTTGCCCATTGTAGTTCCGCCCTTGCCCCTGCTGCCGAGGTTAACCTTGGCAAGAATCTCGGCCCGCAGGCTGGAAATGCTGTTGGTGACGTGGAGGCGGCGGTGGCCCTCGTACCACTGCGGAGAGCAGGTCGTCGTGCTCAGCTGCTTCACATAAAAAGGTGCCGTTCGGAAGGCATTGCTGTTGCTGCCCTTGTTTCCAGCGCCAATGATGCTGTCCCTGCCCACGCCTCTCTCTCCCGTTGTCGTAGAAATTCTAACAGCCACTGAGTGGATGGCCCGCACGGGCTCGGCTGCAGTAGATGGCGTTACCTCGTAATAGTCTAGGGGCGGGGGGGTCGGAGGATGTTGCAGGCTAATCTGTCAGGGTGGTCATAAAGGTTTGGGTGATTCGAGCCAAACCAACTTTATGAAGAGCATATTCATCATCTCTACATGATATCAGCTGACATTATGATTTCGCCAAGAAACAGCATTCCACAGAACCGTTCGAATGTACTGGCTCCTTCCTTCTTTGAAACGGGCTTTCACCCGCTGAACAGGCACGACGACGAACCTGCCATCGCCGGGGACAACTCGGCCGCTGTAACCTCGACTTTCAGTTGTCGGCAAGACGACCGCTCGTCCGGCGGTTGCATGGCGCGCCCGCTTAGAAGGTGGTCCGTAGGACCGGGCAAGCGCTTCGTAACGACGAACAGACTCCCGTCTGAAGGGTCGACCTTCCACACTTCTGCTCGGGAAGAGGGGATGATCGAGTCCTCCACGGCCTGGTTTGGAGTGGGGCAAAGCATCGCGGCGTCCCATGATAATCACTAGAGCCGTGCGTTCGTCCGACCAATCTCGAGTATTCGAAGCCAGTGGAACGTACAACAAGAACACCACTGCCAATGACAGAGACAACCTCGGCGGGCAGGGGGGGGTACGACCCAAAAATCGGCGATCCGCCGTATATATGGCAACATACTGCTTCGCTCGTTTCGGACAGGAAAATGCTGCGCTGCCCAGGCTGGGGGTCATAGCAAACGGCATGACAAGCACCGTCTCTTGCTGGCCCTCACCTTGGCTGTCGCAATGAGCACGTCGATCAGAGAAGATTTCAAGCTGAGACACGATTCGGCCACGGCCTTCAGTGCACGCCGCCGACGATCGCAGCTGACGGCATTCCCAAGAGCTCTTTGTTTTTGAAGGATAGAGAGCACGAACCAGCAGAACACATTCGGTTTGGAGATGAGACAAGAAGAACGGTAGGCAAACGTCACGTGAGATCCGTTGCCATATTGTTACTGTTTTGTTTCACCTACATAATCCACATAAGCGCAGTTGTCCAGGTCGTCAAACTCATGAACAACGACACTGCATTGCCCAACATCTCCTTGCAGAATAGGGTGGAAGAGAGACAACGAAGATGCTCCTCGCATAAGATCGCTTTCATTCCAACTCCAGCGCTCTGACCTCGCGGCTTCCGCCACCATGCGCACAACACCGGTCTCCGGCTGGTCGCGCACGCTCCCGCTGTTACCCATCTGCTCAAAGGTATCCAGCCCCATCACTCCAATCGAGCTCGACCGCAAGAACCCCTCCAACGGCACACATACGAAGGGCCACCCCACGCGACCCTCGTAGTCGAACACCTTGGGGATCATCAACGCCGGTTTCTTCGTCGCCGCCTCTCCAAAGGTCGTTCGACCACCCTTATTAGAGGTGTTCGCTGCCTCTGGATGTTGCTGGTGAGCGTGCTGCATCCGGTCGCGGCCAAGCTTCCCTCGAAACAATTTCTGGATGGAAACGACGCCTTCTTCTAGAGATCTCTGCACGTGAGGTGTTTGGTGTCTGTCGGATGGTGGTATCTCCGCCGCTGTCGCTGTCTCGACGGCCTCTGTGGTGCTGGGTTCGGAGAGAGAGGAAGATGACACCGGCCGAGGTGTCGCGTTCTCCTGCTTCTCCTCCTCATTGCGGGGCGGTCCTCTAACTTGGCTGTTGCTGTTGATGGTGACCCGTCCTTGTTTTGGTGCTTCGCGTCTGCGCGGGGGGTACACAACGTAGGGGGCGTATGAAGGCCCCACGCAAGAGAAGCTGATACCCTCGCCCCGCTTCAGCTGCTTCCCAGCCATGGAAGACTGCCTCGTGCACGACACGTACCGAATACTTTGTGCGCCACTCTCCAGGAGGCCGAGATAGATGGACACCCCCGGGAGGGCAATCTCTAACGCCCTCAGAACCCTCCGGTAGAGATCTCCGTAGGCACGGCCGTCTATGTGGTCGTCGTCGTTATCGTCGTCATCATCGTCATCGTCTTCATCGGATGAGTCCGATCCTCGTTTATCCCGGCTGTCATCGCTGTCGGGGTCCTGCATTCTACCTTGTCCTTCTGGCTCGTCGCCACCGTCATTCCCCTCGCTATGGAACCCTGCTCGCGAACCTCCCGTAGCAAGGTGGCTGGCACTGCTGAGTCTTCTTGCTTCTTCCTGTTTGACGTGGTCCGTAGGATGAGCGGTCCCCTGGTGCTGCGGGTCGCCCCGTCTTGCACGGGCGTGGTTCCAAGCGTCGCAGATCTCTCGCACCCTGCTTAGCGTCATCCTGCGCTGCTCGGCCCGCATGTCTCTTGCCCTGATGTGCCGCAAGAGGCCTTCCGCCTCGGCGGCCACGACTCGCACGAACAGCTCGTCTTCTCGCGGAGGTTCCACAGGAGCATCCCCACCGTCGGAGGAGGGGTAAGAGGTCTTCTTATCACCGACCTTTAAGCCTTTGCCACCATCGTTCTTCTTGTTGTGATCGCTGGACGTTTGTTGATGCTGCTCAGGGCGGTGAGCGACAAGCGCGTGCCGTGCGGCGATCTTCGGACCGATCCACACCTTCCCTAGCCGCACGCCGATGTCGGAAACCGGTGCGACCAGGAGGCTTGGCGCCCGTGGGCAGCATGCGGGCACCGACGCGAAAACGAGCTCGAGAACATCTTCGTAGTCCTTGCAAGGGATAGAGTTCCCGGGGGTGACAGGGGCGCGCCATTTTCTCGCCGACCCCTCAGCGTTGGTCATGTAGACCACGTGAGCCTCATGGACATCGTCGGTGTCGCCCGATAGCGCTGTACTGGTGTGGTTGTTTGGTGATGTTGTCAGCAATTTCGTTCCCGGAGACAGGGTTGGTGGTGACGGGAGAGCAATGAAGCGTTTCGCGGCCCGGGCTGCCGTCATCACGCGACGTGCCCAGCGCAGACCGACCTGGGGGGTGACGCGCAGGACAATTTTTGACGTTAGGGCTCCGGCTTCGTCTGACTTACCCGCGTTCACAGTTTGTTTGGTGCCTGTAGCGCCAACGACCGGAGAAATGCTGGCGCCCCCTTTAGCACCGCTTCGGCACGTGGAGTTGGAGCCCGCCGGCAAAAGCTCGAGGGGGAGAGAGACTCGTCCTGGTACCGAGAGCAGCAGGGTGTCAGGACGTACTCGGGCGGAACCGATGCGTCGGACGCTGCTTTGCTGTCCTTCGTGCTCCGGTCTGTTCTTCCTACTTCTGATGAACGTCACGTTTGCATTGCCTGCAGCACGCTTTCCAACGCAAATAGAATCCTCATCTTCATCCTCATCCTTGGCCAAGCTTGTTTCCCACAACTCCACGGTGAGCTCGAGGGGCAGCCCTCCACCGTGGCGGGGCGATAGCGTCACCGCGAACTGGTTGGTGTCCTCGTGGTGGTCTTCTTCCCACGATACTACCCCCGGCATGGAGATCCCTTTGTCTGTTGTCACTGCAGCTGTAGTCGACGTGCTGATGTCATCAATGACGGATGTTTGAGTGCGTCCAATTTCCACCTCGTCTTCTTTCACGATGCAAAACGCCCGTCGCCTGGTGCCGGTAAATGCCCGTGATGAGAAAACAAAACACGGGGCATTGTTGAGAAGGCCCTATGCCGTTCGATATGGAGCGCCCACGTGCCCAGAAGGAAAAGAGAAACGAGAAACATGAGGCCAACGAAAATCCAAGACACGTTGCAGATACCTGTCTCTGATCGTCCCTATTACGTTGCGTTGCGGCTCATTGTTTCTGTGACACAATGACCATATACATGTATTAGTAGAACCCCTAATATTTTCACGAGAGGCGTGTTCTTTCGTCGGCAGGGGGACACACCAGAGACGCACCGCCACCGCCACCGGCGCTAGCTGTAACAATAACCACGCGAAACAATTGTAAAAACAACGCCAACAACATCGCTAGAAGCAGAATAGATAGCCAACAAGCAACGACGGATCATTTTACTCACCATCTTCCTGATGGCGGTGGCAATCCTTTGGCCGCGAGTACCTCCACCGTGAGCGCAGAGTGGACGAACTCCGATGCGAGGCTTTCCCCGCCCCGTCGAAGCCACAACTGGAAACTGAGTGACCCCCTAGCGGCCGGGTTGCTCGTGCTCCGGTGAGAGCGCTGCGGACGAAGGGGGCGACACACCACCGCGCCGTGTGCTAGGTGCGGCACAAAGTCCCCGGTCAAAATCACCTGGCGAAAAAACGCGTTTGTTAAGAGGAGCCAGCGAACACAAAAACAGGCCAACTGCAGCCGAGCGGTGACTATGCAGCACTCGTTTCGTTCTTGTTGGTCACTTTACTGCTCATGTCATATTTTTCCTTGGCAGGGGGAAGGGGGTATACTGCAGCAGCCACAAACGGGGCGGAAGATGTGGCGAAGGAGGGAAGCATCACATATCGCCACATCGTGTACCTTAGACGGAAGTCGGCGGGCATCCTTCAACAAGAACAACAAAGTCCGGGTGACCAGAGTTTAGATATGGTTCGACGTGAGTTCTTCCGTTCATGACTCATTCAGAACTCCCTGGTGGCGAATTACACACGACGCCAGCACCTACCTGCCCAAGGTGATCCCCATACTCCTTCTCTGGCCCCCCTTCCTCCCACAGGTCGATCTCTATCTCGGTTTCTCGACGGTCGACGCACTCCTCCGCGAGCGGCACTGTGCACGTGTTGCTGTGTCGAGCCGACCACACATGGCTATAGATATCCTCGGCAGCAGCCTGCACTGCCCCGGGCCCCGGTGCCAGCCCAGCTTCTGTAACCACGGCGGAGGCTCGGCTGTTGAGCGAGGCGTTCTGTTGTCTAAGGTCGGAACGGGCAGGGACAACTTCCGTCTTCGACAGCTCCGTGCCTTGGAACGAGAAGGTCGCGAACACCGACGCTGATGGAGAGGTGAGGTTAGTCGCACCGACCAGGCGCACTTGCACCTGCACGACGAAAACAAGAGAACGAGAGCTATTGTTTGCCAATATTCTGTGCGACTTGCGATCTCGTTTCCTCGGTGCTCAAAGACCAGAGGTTATTGCATTCTTAGCAGGAGAAGAGACGTACGTCGGTTGTTCGTTGGTGATGTTTGATCGCTTCTGCGCCATTGTTCAGCAGCGAGCGCGTAGTTCACAATTGTATTAACCTTCTTTAGGACGAAGATCCACGAATGTTGGGATGGTCATTTATGTAACGGCACCTTTGGGATTATGTCCCTCGTGCCAGATGTGATAGTGTATGTGCCCTTCCTTTCCTCTGTAGGACATGTTTGCTCACCTGAAGGCTGCGATTGGCCCTGCTCTTGTCCAACTCCCCAGCGTAGTCGAAATCGTGCCAGGGGTTGAGTGAGAACAACAGATGCCCCTTGACCAAGGTCTGGTCTTCTAACGGGAGAACCTGCATCGAGAGGAACAGACAAACGTTGTCATAGCATCAAAAAGGCAAAGAGTTTCATGTTGGCGTGGGAAACACTATCGCTGGTGTTGGTGATTAAAGAGGGCTAACTGGTGATACGGTGCCTCGTACTTGCACGGCGTTCATTTCGTTTTTTCGGAAGAGTCTATTGCTCGTTCCATTCTTGCCTCGCACTTCACGAAAGATATGCCTGTTTTCGTGCCCCGCGTTTAGCATTAGATCCCGGCTTCTAGAGTGCCGTTTTTCTTCCCTTTCCCGACCCTCCACACTGGGGGATAAACACGCCTCCTTTCGCCGGAACCGGGCCGATCATACTATAGCTGGCCAAGCTCAAGAGGAAATCTTCCCAACGTGCGTACCTCGGGGGATTTTCGCCTCAACGGCAGCTCCAATGGCTCGCCATGCGCTGCTATCTCATCCATATCACGCCTGGTACTCCTCAGGGACGCCTGGGAGTCAGTCGGAGGGCGCGACAATCAAAATATACTTGGAGGTTTTATCTCCGCACGAAACCAACAAGCTTCACGTGAAAAGCACCAACCGCAGCTTGTGTAGAAATGCTCATTGACCCATTCTTCAATGAGGAAATGCTTTTGTCCCCGCCATACTGTTTCGATTCACCTGAAAAGCAGCAGAATTCACTCTATACTCAGTGCAGAACCTCGTTTGTAGTCCAGCGCGGACGGGGAGGTTGACTGCTCTTAAAAACCTACACTAGTGCCAACCCCTTGGTGACAGACGTTTCTGGTGTAAGGGCCACATCGCGTTGGAAGGCTCACCCGTCCTAAAAAAGCATCTTGGTTGCCCATCTTGCGCCCCCAGACATCGAAATACAGCTCGGCACACATCTCCAAAGGTAGGATGAAACTTTGGGTGATGGCACGAACGCACAATGGAAAGAAAAGAAAATAGTTTGAAAGTGGGATTTGTCAACTTCGTGTGAACTGTATGATGTCCAAAGGTTAATGTCCATGTGTTCAGGCGACCAGTGCCCTCTTCTGCTATTTGGCTATTTGAAGCGAGGAGGGGGGGGTAGCATTGAGTCTACATTGATCTGAAAATGCTCTTGGTCAATCCCTTTGCAAGCAAGCTCACGCCCCCAGCTTTAAGGACAGTTGATTCCTACTACGTGTGCTTCTTGTTGTATTGCTCGTCGATCCACTCTAGGGCGCTGAAGTGCCCCGGACGAACGGTATATCCGTGATACGTTCCGGGGGGCATCGACTTCTTCCGGAAAGCGTTTGTTGCACGTAGGTATGCGATCAGCACAACAACGGGAATTCTCAATCCTTGAAACTACTTGCTAGTCCTCTTTCGTTGTCCCAAGACTCCAAAGGTCCACAACCACTCACTGCTCGTCGATCCACTCCGGCGACGTCGTCCCTCCCACCGACGACACGTGAGTCGTTCCGACGCCCCTCCCGCACGCCATGACGGTAATGACTACGTCCAAGGCTCGAGCCCCGGAAGATAGCCCCCAGGCGTTGTAAACCTTGATTTGCATCTTCTCTCGCGCGGGTGGTCTTGGCGATCGTTGCGGTCGCTGTAGCCCTGGCCGTTCCTGCTCGCTGTCCGCGATGATGGCTGCCGTGTCCATAACATTTCTGTCGTCGGGGCCGATATCCTTCACGTTGGTGTCGTGTTCGACGGTGGTTCGAGACCTGGTGGTGTCCGTCCGATCTCGACCGTCTGTTTCTGCTGCTATTGCTGTTGGGCTAGTTTCTTCTGTCCTTACCTTCGTCTCATGCAATGCGGACAAAGGATTCAGGCCCCGAGAAGGAGGCGATCCCATGGGCGGCGGTTGTCTCTCCAAGAACAGAATTATCGTTGCCGGGCGCTTCCTCTCGCCATCGCTGTGGTTCTGAACCCCGTTGAACGCTTGTTTCGCAGTAGTCAGAGCCCTCCGTTTGGTCGTAGTCGACGGTGGTTCTTGGAGTTCTATTGGGAGTTCCACAACCTTGCACGGCGGGCCGTCCCCGGGTTCGGGGAGTCGAAGAGTGCTCTCTCCCAGAACGACGTGGCCAATCAGACCGCTCCGGGTGCTGGCTACGGTTGACAATGCCGTTGCTGAGCCGCCGGCGCTAGCATCGAGGATCTGGGTTCACGTAGAAAGAAAAATGCGCAGGAAAGCAACACCACCCAAAATTGTTGAAGTGTTACCGAATGCTGAAGCTCCGCTGGAGATCGAGCCGATTTTGACAGTGTCTTGTATCACGGAACCACCTGCTTTTGTTGCACCACTCACAATGTGCGGAGGAATGATCCACTGCTTCATCGACCGATACGACAAGTATTGCAGAAAGGGAACAAGTGTATATCCTTACTCCTCGAAGCAATCGTCGAAGAAAGGACGTCACCATAAAACACCTGTTCTTGTTTCACCGGTGATAATCAAGTTGATCAACTAACTCACACTCCGACTTCACTAGTATGAGCTTTTGACTCTCGCTCCTTCTAACGATTTGTTCCAGGAGCGATTCGCTCACCTCCACAACCACTTCGATGTTTGGGTTGCCGGGCGACCCTGTGTGTTGGTGAATACCCGTACTTTCCAGCGGTGTAGCAATCTGACGTGAACATGAGGGCAGGGGTGAGGTGCCATGGGTGTTAGGCTATGTACCATGTTTCACACATGCTTGCGAAGATTAGCTTTTTCAGGTCTAGCCATCAAACTCAAGTCCACCAGTAAATCGAAGGACTTAGCCTTTGGAGATCACGTGCTCCGCCACCGTCAACAAACAAATCGGATGCAGTGAACCAATTATACCCTTATGTCACTTAGCGATGGTAGCTCAATCTAGTTTCTCTTGTTTGTCTTCCGCGTTCCCGCGTCGCTCGGATTTCTAGTCGCACAGTTTAGAGGTACACGTCCTACCTCGTTAATTTGCTTTCATGTTTTGAGAAAGGGTGCAAACTGACTGCCCAATGGGCAAGCCGAAACACAATGAAACCATACTCCTGGCGAACATATTTTTCATTGTAGTACCTGGAAACCCTCGTCCCACGCAGGCGAGGTGCTCTTCTTGATAACTCGCGTGCGCCCCACTTCCAGGCCATTCCATCTCACACACGCCAGCGGATCGGATACGCCGAAATGGTGTCTTGACGACAAAAATAAGTATTGACGACGCATGGTAAGATCGGTGGTGCGTGGGCGGAAACAGATGAGTGAGTCAAAGGGATATTGTCCTACGGTGGGTGCACTTTGAGTGTCCATGTGGTCAAGACAGCGATGCTGCCACATGGAACAGTAGAACAACTCACCCCCTCGGAAGGCCGGAGGCGGACACCACGAACAGCTTTACTTCTTCCCCGAGCCCCTCGAGAACAAGACGATCAGGGCTCACCCAGTCCTACCACGGGGTGAAGGTACGAGAACAAGTTAGCTTCGGGTCTGTGCGGTCGACGATAGGAGTGGTTTGCGGCACCCCACTTCTTTTGAACTCCATGTTGCGGTTGTCAGCTACCGGACACTAGCATGCCCGAAAAAACATCCAAAGCAAAAGCCCAAAACGACGAAAGATCCAGGAAATCATCGCACTCCGCCACGTGAATCGTCACACACCTGGCACGTGAACCTCAACGACCCTTGCACCAGTCGATTAAACTTGTCCGTGACGTTTGCTTTCGGCTGCAGGGCGGCCGTGAATTCATGGGCACCGTCGACGGGGACCTTCTCCGCGAGATCCTGCTTGCTCAGGCGCACCTCACCCAGAAAGTCGCTTTTCTTATGGAAGTCGACGTCCCACACCTACCGAGGGGTACATGCGAGGGTTTTTGTCAACACTGTTGGTGGTCGTGTCGTAGCCTGGAAAGAGGCATCGGTAGTACATGACGGTTGCCTGGATGTCACAGATGCGCAACGTCAAATGCTAAGTTCTGTATTTTACTTTGTAGACCGGGAAACCTGGATCCCCAGACCCTACACCTGTTGTGAGATGGAAAGCTTGGTGTTCTACGGCAGGCGTCCTCGCCCAACAATGTCTTAAAAACAGGAAGGAAAGATTCATCTCACGGGAAACCTACAACGAAAGTGTGCACTTCTTCTTCATACCTCCAGGATAATCTCTTCCACCGCGGTGAGGATGAACACTTCCGGCGGGTTTCGCCAGACCGGTTGCAAAGTGCCGGCAATGGAATGAGTCCTGCCTCTCTCGGCATTATCTCCGTCGCCGTTCACCTGATCGGAAGAAACAGAAAACGAAGAACTGCATCAGAAGTGATGGAGAAAATGCGTGTGATAATATTCTTGGAGGTGCATGTGCATGCCTCATGTCCAACAGACGCTCACGTCGAAAGTCGGGCTTTGTTTGCACCATTTGTTTTGCCGGCAGGGTATTTGGTGAAGCACTGAAGGCCATGTCTCCTGCATGCAATTTCTGTGCTACTATTCGTGAAAGGGACATATCACATCGGGTTACTTGCACCTGGCCAACTGTTGACGCACATCGGGTCACGCTATTCCAAAGCTCTGACAAGGAGATTTCAACGCTCTACACCCCCCTCGTTGGAGTCCAATTCGCCGTAGTTACCGACCTTGATGGAGACGATTGGATCCGCTTTCCCGAACCGGTCGGCTTTTCCGAGCCCCCACGCCCGATCCACCGTCACGGCGTAGCTTCGCGCAGCCCCGTCCCCAATTTGTATCTGGGACGATTTTCGATGAAAGGAAGCGAGACAAAAGCGTTCAACCAAACTCTAAGAGGCGAGCTTGGTGGATACTTTGTCAATGGTCTGCCTACTTTATCCCGTCCTCCTATAAGGGGAACCTGTGGGAAACAATTCAGCGCATGGCATTGAAAATGATGACTTGGGTCTTCGATGCATCGACAGAGAGCTTTTGGATTGGTAGCATGGTCAAAATTAATGGCTCGGTGGGACCCTCCAGAGTCGCGTCGGTGAGAAGTATCCTCCCCGCTCTGACCTGTTGTGGGCAAGGTTAAGAACAACCACGTTTTTTTGCCAAAGGTATGAAAGTTGTCACGCACGTATCAAACTCCCGAGTGGCTCAACACAATCCATGTATCCCCCCATTCACCTCAGCCACTGGTGCCTCCACTAGCAGTTGTACCGTCCCTTGCACCAGTTCCTGGTCCCTCTTGGGGGCGTCGTCGCGGAACCCCAGAGCCAGGTTCAGTTCGCGACTAGCTTCGCCCGGGAGTAGATGAAGGTCTCTCCATGCTAGGGAAGCCTGCCCTAGAAAATCCCCTCGTTTCCCTGCGCGCATGGTTCGTTCGGTTGCCGACTAAAGAAACACACAGGCGTGACGCTATGACTAGAAGGTTAACAGCCCGTGTACTCCAAATATCACGACTGTCCTCGGGGGATATCCTAGTCCAACAAGCGCTGAACGGCGTGCCGCTAGAACCCAGTCATATCACTCACCCAAATCCTCGTCCCACAGCTGGACAATCACGTTACAGCGGTTGCCTGCGACGCGCAGAGAAAAGGTCTCTCGCGGGTCGCTCCAACAAGGGTCGAGAGTTTTGAACAGGGTACGCGTGCGACCTATCTCCCGCCTGTTGAGAAGAACCATGCCGAAAGGGTCCGACTTTCCGAACACGTCCGCCTTCGCGAGACCCTTTGCTGACAAAATCGTCAACATCACCTATCACCACAACACGTGTAGGATTGGGAACAATGGTCCAGATTTGCGAAACACCCAACGCTCTTTTCCAGCATTTACACAAACGCTTGCTACACAGGAAAATAAATCTGGAGGGGGTGGGGAGATCAACTGAGCAAATGCTGCAATCGAAAAGGAGAACAAACTTGATAGGGAAATGGTTACCCTGTTGTTTCCTTATTCAAACGGTGTGGCTACCACATCTCGGGAGCCTCGTCGGGCATGGTAACGTTTGCCTCTGACTTCTCGGCATTCTTCTCTGTCCCATAGTGTATATACTACAGGCATGGTTTTTCCTCCGGCGGGGTTTCGGATATGAGAAGCGCCGGTCTCAAGGTCACCGCTGCTCCCCCCCCCCCTCAGGAGACTCGCAAGGCATCTACTTCGGCTGGTCTATTCCGTGGGACGTATTCCACCTCGACTAGGGTATTGCCCCGTCAAGGGCACGCCTATTTTCTTCTTATAAGACTACAACGCCTTGAAGTACGATACCTTACCTGGCCACCGCTGCCCTCCCCCTCTGGAGGCTCATCGGGCATGTTGCCGTACGCCTCTCGGATCGAGAACGTCAGCACTCCCTGCACCAGCTCGTTGAAACCGTCATCCTCGGTTTGTTTCTTCTCCTGCACGAGGCCATCGATGTGTTGTTGTGCCGATTAGTTATTTGTTTTCGACCATACCAACAGTAGTCGCCTACGTGGCGATGGCACGGAAGTGGCACATGTTCATGACAATATCATACGGACGAAAACAGTAGGAGAAAATCAGCTCATAATACTCCTCTACGTCTGCACATGTGCATGAACTCACTTTCACCCGCGATGTGGGGCAACAAGCTGGGAGAATTACACTATCCAATCCTTTGATGAAATGGAGAACTATCTTCTCGAAGCCAAAGAGTGGGTGTACAAGGTTGCTCCGATGAGAAAAATGAGTTTTACAAACCCTACACATGAAGAACGCGTATTGTTGAGTTTTGTTTCCCTTATCCTCCTGTATGTACGGGCGAGGCCTATACTGCACCAAAATGACACAGAAGCGTGGAATCAAGTCACCACTCCCACGCACCTGCTCCTCAGACATGTCATGCCACCTACAGTATCTTTTCAAACTTACTTCTGGCGAATGCACCAATACAAGATCGCCATAATATAAGATGTTTTTACTTATATTCCTCACCAGCTCGCACTCGATGGGTCCAGTCGGAAGAATGAACTCCAAGAGTTGCGCCTTGGGCAGGGAAACCTAGCACAGCAGCCGTCGGGGAGGGTGCGGGGGAAGACAAAGACTGAAACTCAGGTGTCAGGGAGGTACTACGATCGATTCCTAAAGAACGTGTGAAGCATCGCGAGACAACCTGCGACGTTCTAGGGGCACAAACAAGGGGGAAGGGGTCGCGTATGGGCCTATTTCGTAGTCCTGTGAGGAAGAATCGGCGTTTGCGACAAAGGGAAAGAGCCCACTAGGGAAAATTCGACAATTCTTGCCATCAAGAAAGAGAGCAGAAATAGTTTCGGCCTTATCATCAGTCGTCGGAGATAATTATTTTAAATCACCCCGTTGTCCCCACCCTTTGTTTCATTCCCTTCCTCATCCTCACTTGACCCAAGAAGTTGCCCTGCCCGAGGTCGTCTTCGTCCCAGACTTCCAATGTCAGGTCGCACTTTGCGGCGTCTTCGAAGCCTACCGCGACCACGAAACGCTCTTCCGGATTCGTCCACACGGGATCCAGCGATAGGGCGATGGTGCGAGTATGCCCCAGCTGCACAGGATGAAATAACAGTCGAGAGAGACGCCAACTTGTTTACATCACGTTAGGATAATACCCATAGCGGAAGCAAAAGAGGTCGACTGAGTGCGCCCACTTTGAACCAAAAACTTCTCAAAGATTAAGACAAGCGCGAGAAGCTTTGGCGAGAGCTGCTGCAGTGCAAAGGGCGTTCGGTTTCATTTCAACCCTTCCTTCTGCCAGCGCAGAAGCTGGAGCCTACCTGCGTCTGTCCGTTGGCCCGGATCACGACGTAGGGGTCTGACAGACCAAACCTGTCGGCTTTGGCCAATCCGCCCGCCTCCATCACCCGAATCTCCAATCGTCGGTACTGTGAGCTCTGACGGACACCGTTCGTTGTAGGCAGGTCGCATGTGAATCATCGAGAATCGTGCAGAAAAAAGACAATTTCGGGTCGGTCATATGTATAAGGCAGAAGAGATTTCATTGGAACGAAGGAGTGTCGGGGTATGTTGTCGTGTGCAGGGGGGGTCGTTTTCCTCAGGTAGGAATGTGTGTTGGGAGCTTGCTCGCCACGGTGGCATACGTTCGTGCTGTATGCCCGTGCGGCCCCACTGATCCCATTGACGAAGCAAACCACCCCCGAAACAGCTTGATCTCCTTGTTGGCACTCACCAGCAAAGGGACGGCATATCCTCTTGTGGTTTCCTCTAGGTCGGTGGGCCCATCGACGATGCTCGCGTGATCGATGACTACCGTATCAGTCACGTCCTCGTCTCCCTTGTCGACCCCTTCCAGCTTGTAGAACAAATCACCCTGCACTAACCACTGGTCTGAAAGTGGCACCTGCACAAAAGGTGATATGGTTCACGCAGAAGACGGACAGAAAATAGCCGGGGCGGTGGGGGCCTGGATCTTATCGCCTGGATCAGTGTCACAAGTACTGAAGCACTCACGGTATACGTCTTCGTCGTGTGACCTTCTCTCCTTGGTTGCCATCACCGCCAGCTTGCAAGCCTAGAGCACCATTCCAACCACTGACACAAGACCATATAGGAAGTACATTTTGGCGCGGCAGTCACGCCTCCGCACTTCACCAGCACAAAGCGCAGACCCCCGCCGTTGCCAACTTTGAGACAAGGGTCCATAGAGGGAGGGAAACTTGGATAGTCACCGCTGCGGTCGACCTATAGCTTGGCGTCGACCTATAGCTTGGCTTCATTGCCAAGGTTTCAAGTATAGAGTTCAGCAATGCGAGGTTTCACTGCGAAAAGAGTATTGACCAAGCCTTGCAGCGGCATGTGCCACCCTTCTGCCTTTCAAAACGTACCTCCGGCTTCTTTTGCAGCTCAACCTGCCTGTGCTGAGCCTCGGTTCCTTTGAACGTTCCCGGAGAGTGGAAGCGAAGAAGGTCGTTACCAGATACTATGACCTGATTCAAACGTTAGATATCGGGTCGCGTACGCAGGGGACGAGGGTAGGGGGTTCATCTTGACAAGCATGATGTTTAGATCATCAGAACAAATGAGGGTGGTGTAGATGCTGAGAAGAAGGAAGTGGAGGGCCCAGCAAATCGGCTAACCCGTTACAAGGTCAGGCTATTATTGGATAGTAGCGGTGAAACATATTTCGAGGCAACTCAAGGACGAGGCGCAAAAAACGAACCGCACTATCGCCAATACGGTTCGTGTGAGCACCGCCGACGATAAACCGATCCCAGCGAGACCCTCTTCTACGACGAGAGCTGCCTCCAGCAGGTCGGTCGAACGTCCTATGTACCTGGCCCAGGAAGTCGCTGGGGTCTCCAAAATCCTCATCGAAAACCTCGAGCACGACGCCGCCCCCTCCGAAGGACGCCTCTCGGGGGTGAGGAATGGTCAGCAAGAAGCTCTGGTGTTGACATGGGTGCACGCAAGATATGACGGAACGGCCACCAGCAAGCTCGGGTGTTGAAAAAGAGTGCACGGTAAGGACGAGTACCGACGCTCTGCGTTATGCTCGGGGTATCTTTGACACAATGGGATAGGCTGCGCGCCAACCCCCACCGTCTGAGATTGAAAGCAAGCTGCAAGGCGTGTAGGGAGCAAGCAAGGACTCTGTGCTTGGATCACGAGCGAGGCAAAAGCTACATTGTACGAACGACAATCGCTGCGAATTCTTCGTTTGGCCAGGAGGTACACACACACACACACACACACACACACACACACACACACGACAAGGATAGTAACGGCCATGGCGGCACAAATCAACGCACCTCTCCCTCCTTGCTCTTGGTTCCCCAGACGGGATCGAGACTGCCGTAGATCGTCGTGGTTCGGCCAACCTCACGACCCCTCCTTTTTAGCACACACATCGGATCTGCGCCCCCGGAATCGTCCGCCTGTTTTAAGAGCAAGACAGGTTGACGGGGGCATGATGGAGGAGACGGTACGCTCTTCTTTTGCTTGCGGTGAGTCATCGGAATGTTTGCTTGGTAAGCTGTTCTTCCTTAGTGGAACCGGAAATGGAGCAAACACGTTCTGAGTGTGGGAATCATGCATGAAGAATGACAACAATATGGCAGCTCAAAACCTTGTGGCGTTGAAGTCTAACCACCAACAATGCTGACTGCTCTAACATAGGAGCAATGAAGTTGTTCCAGCTACACGTTGACGTTGATTTGTACACGTATGCTTATTGTCCAATCGACTGGAACTCAGTCTCTCACCCATGGCGCATTTGTCTCTATTTCTAACATGTTCACAACTGGTTCCCCTCTAACGTTGCTCAACAAGGTGCACCACAAGGGGAACGTCTATACCTGGGCCAGACCAGTCGCTCGAAGCACCGTCAGCCTCACTCTCCTGTCGAACACCGTATCTAAGCCGGAAGCCTCTACGTTAGCCGCGTCGGCGTAGCTTTCGGCGATCGTGGCGGCTTCCGCTAGCCCTGCTCGCCATTCGGAGGGCGACCTCTCCTGGACAGTAAACACCAAACATCCCTCTTCTTCATTGCCTGATTCGAAGCCGCATCGGATCGGACGTGGGGGGGGGAGGGAGGGAGATAGAGACGGCACCATTCACAGGGTTTCAGTATTGCAAGGAAGGTACACACAGAATTGATATGAACATGTTCTATATAAAAATGGGGCCAATCACCGTACGCGGGGGGGGGGCAGGAGAGGACATTTCAGAAAGAGATGGTATGCATACTCGGACGATCGGTCACAAGATGGAACCCTCGCTCCCTCTCTCCTATCTAGTCTGTAGGGCAACACGTTGAAGTGCCAAGAGACGGAAACTGGCTATTCGTAACCTCTCAAACAGTCAACTCCGTACTTGAACAAGTTTCCCGATTTGACTCACCTCTCTTGTTCTTGAGTGGCAGTTTATGAGTCTTGGTCGTTTTCGCATCCCCGGTGCCGCCTGCCGCGCCTTCGTCACTAACGGCGTAGGCCACTAGCCGTGAAACCGAGAGGTCCAGGCGCCCCACGAACTCACACTGAAGGAAAGCACACAGATTAAATCGAAAGTCCGAGGTTGTTCGCCCGACGTTGCGCTACAAACACACGTGATCGCGAGCGAGCGTATGTGGTAACACCACGACACGAGGCGTGCCGTAGCGACCACTCGAATCTTGGTCTATTTGTCGCGAAGCAGAAGGACAATCAAGAGCCACGCTCTTCCGGATCCCCTCTCTTTCATCCGTCATTGAAACCCTCGGTGAGACCGGCCTTCAACGGAAATACCAAAAAATCCAACGAAAAAACTGGAACACCAACCTCGTCTGGGTGCGTTTGCCTTCGACCTTGAACGCGATTCCAAACGATGATCGAGAAGTCGTTGGGTGCGGGGGAGGAGTCGCCGTTGTTCCCTTTTGGGCCGCGTCCCTCTTCCCCCTTGTGCTGTCGGTTATGAAGACGATCGCGGGCGATTTCGATGCGAACGGTCTCCATCCACACCGGGTCGAAACCGTTAGGCATAGCCTGTAGAATGGGTGGATGTTGAGGTATTCAAGGCTCTTGAACATCGAGAAGAACTACAATGGCGGCTTTCGCATGGATAGACAATATTTTCGAAATTGAGGTAGAAGCAGGCGCGGTAGGATGACAGACCTTGTTTTGTTGTGGTGATGGGGTTCATGGTACACTGTAATGATGTACTCCTCTCTGTCTGTGGTCGTCACGCATGTTAACGCACCCGGGCTCTACATGGTGCTAGACACGACATTCTCTTAAGGTGTAAGCCTTGGAGTGGGTCATCTTGAGGCATGCCCTGACCCAAGCTGCACACCGCCCACCACCGCACTTTGCTACGACGAAGCCTAAACCCACCGCGGTGCTTCCGACGTCTCTCCCGTCCAAGGTAGCGATCGCGAAGACGCAGGCGCCGTCTCCCCGACGAAGTCCAAAGCTCCCCTCAATCGTCACCTTGAGCGTCCGTTCGTTCGATGCGTATGCACGCAGTAAAGAACAGCCAAGCGTCCCGAGAAGCAAACACGTTTGGGAGGTGGATGACCACGTAGCATCGACTGCGACTGGTGCAGGCAACGCTGTCTGTATTGAATAGACGCGTGTACCTCTGTTGGACGGCGCGTGTGTGTCGCGACTCTGTGTTGCAGAGCGAGGGCGGGGCTCCTGGCAATCAGAAATCTCGTCTAAATGACCCGGCTACATACAACGAAGGTCCCATCTGTGCCCGTGCCCAAAAGAAGGAAATCATATCGACTGCCACCCACGTACCACAATGATACCCCCGGAACCAATTCTGGCATATTTAAAGTTGGAAAAAGGATAAGAACGTTCGTTCCGTCAACTGTTACTATTGCGAGCAATCGTTTTTGTGTTCGCGGACGGGTTTGCATGTGCTTCCAGTAGGGAAACCTTCTTGGCATCGAGCGACCTAAAGGAATGGTCGACATGGACTGCTGCCCACTGCGCTTGTATGTATGGTGCCTAGTTCGTGTTGACATATTCGGTTTTCGATCGCTGCACGGCAGTGTAGACCGTATGGTTTGTAGGCAGTAGTGATGATTGTCGTTGCTGAACGGATTCTCCACGAAAGTCTGTCTGCAATCACTCACACATACCGTTCTGTCCACAATCAACGACGATATTTGTTCTTGAAACATTACCTCGAGGAAAACCTTTTCGACGTCTATCGACTCCTGAAGACGAGACAAGGCTCCGTCGGTGGCCGGCGCCAGACAAAGTCCGATGCTTCCCTGCACGTGTTCCCGCTCTTTCTTGGTCATGCTGCCGTCGTGTTTGGCCTCCAACGGTAGCACCTGAAATGTGCAAGCAGAACCAGAACAACAGAGGAGGAGTGAAAAAAACACGAGGATTAAGTTCAACGATGCGCTTGTTGGCAAGGAAGATTTGACGGGGAAACTTGCTTGGATTAAACATTCGCCCCGACACTGGGGTGTGTACGGTATGAGAACCTGTCGATGGGTTTTTCGTGCTTAGATCAGTAGCATGATTGGGTCTGCACATGAAGAAGGGTATTGAAGACAAGACATGAACAAGTTTATTTCGTGATACTTTCGAAGTATCACGTAACGAAACACCGACGACAGCGAAAACATCAACACCAACACGAACAAGCATCCTCGTTCTCTACTCTCGCGTATGCACGTCCGCGAGTACGCACCAGATTCAGTCGGCCGCGTGCCATTTCCAGCAACGCTTGTGCGTCCAACTTCACCTCGCCCAGGAAATCGGCAGCCACCCCCCCATCCTCATCCCAGACCTGCACCGTGAGTTCTATCGTCTTCTTCTCTTGTCGTTCTAGGCTTCCACCGCCCCCCGCCCACCCGCTCGCCCTATTGCCCTCGTCGACGCTGTCACTTTTACCGAAGCTGCTATCGCCACTATGTTTGCGAGAGCCACCGCCACCACCTCCACCGCCAACAGCGACCGCAACAGGCGTTGCTGGTGCCGCCGTTTCTAGGGGAAGCTCGAAAAAGCACGCCTTCCAAACGGGATGAACGGTGTTGTAAACAGTCGGGGTTTTGCCTAGCTCTCGGGTGTGCCGCGGCCATTTGACGATGCAGAGCGGGTCCGATAGACCGAAGCGATCGGCCTTGGTGAGCCCCATGCAGTGAGTGATCTGAAGCTTGAGGCTAATGCACGCGCGAGGTGGGGGAGGAGGGCATTCGGAGTCAGCAACAGGCCAAACCGGCTTGCCACGCCTTCACCGACGTACGTGTGAAAACAGATTGAAGATATCCATACATTAATCAGAGAGGAAAGAGCGGGGGTGCTGCAGGAGAGGTGGTGATGTGGAGGCATCGCCTAATGCGGGGCAACCTGATCCACTAGCTTTGCATATGCGCATTGGATAGGGTAAGGAAAACTCACTAATCTCGCGTGTCGCCATCTTCAGCCTCGAACAGGGGCGGCTGGCCTGCCAGAGAAGGTTCCAAGAAAAATCTGCCTTCTTCGTCGCACGGCTGGGTCGCCTCCCACACCTGATCAACCAGACCAGCACAACGCAAGCTTAGAACACTTCTTTTCGGCCGGAGATATCGAGGGGGGGTTGAGGCCTTGAACTTAAGTTGGACGGTCATGTCAACCCGGTTTTCTTCTTTCCCGGAGGAGACGGTCCTTGGCTGCAACTGTAGCCATATGGTAAAGGCCTGTACACTGCTGTGCAAGATGACGGGCGGCGGTACCCACCCCGCTTGCGCACGGTATTGGGAGAGAACGCACGCGCGATTTTAAAAATATCATGTGGCAGCCACATGCAGAGAGAGCACTTGATCCGTGAAGAGAGGTATTTGGACAGAGAAACGATCATGCTTCGCTTCAACCGAGATGTACGGGCTCAAGCCGCGAGGGGCACTTGATATCCCTCACAAACATGAGTCAATCCCTCACATTCGCCTAGAACATGCGTAAACCGTGCCGATGACTCTACAGGAATGGGACCGTTTCGAGCCGCCTCCTGCCCTCTCCCCGTCCCTTCCCCTCCACGCCTAAAGCAGACTATACAGTTTCCTTTTCACGGATTTAGCAGCACACCTCGAAGCGCGTACAATGGACAAGAGCCTGGGACATGGAGGTCGCAACGGCCGCGTACACGTCTTGGGCGGACGAAACACTAGCGCCTTCATCTCGGCTCTTCACGCCTCCGTCTCGTTTTGCGGCCCCGTGCTTTCGTAAGCCCCCCCTGTGCGTCTTCCCTGCAGCAGGAGGCGAAGCAGATCCAGGCCGTGATGGTGCTGTCGCTACCGCTGTGTCTTCGTCCAACGTAATGGAGCGGAGCCTCCGAAGCGCGCGACTCTTGGCCTCCCGGTCGAGGGCGAGGCCCAACTCCGAAGCGCAGGTTTCCAGGTAGGCAAGGACGTCCTTCTCTGGGTGCCACGTGACCGTTTCCTCGTCTGCCCAGGGGTCCTCGAACCTAGCCGGGCGGCATCGGGCGAGAAGCGTCAAGGCGGTGGCGTTGTTGTTCGCGAGAACGAAGCGAAGAGAACGAGCTGTTTCTCGAAAGGGCAGTAAGGACCTGTGCCAAAGTGTGCGCCTGCTGCAGAGGCGCAAGTGTAAGACAGCGTTTTCCCCCGGGAGGTAGAGCAATTTCAATGGCCCCGCATGGTCACACAAACTTGCAAAACAAACGTCAGGCATGCCCACACCTGTCGACGCAAAAGACTCCGCGAACCGCCCTGCTCGAGGTACTCGGTCGAATCGGTACTGCTACCCACGGCCAGCCCTGCTGCATCGGGTCCGAGAAAAAATGCAAGCGGCTGGAGTCTTGGCTGTAAACGCCGGGAATGACCGCCGTCGTGCAGTTGTCGATGACGTCCCACGATGGGCTCTGTTCCGGCAATCACCACCATCGAGTTTGGGTGTGAGGAAGGAGGAGAAAAGGCAAACATGAATCAGTGATGACGTGGGTTATGGTGAATGTCATTACGGCACACGAGATCTTCGATCGAGCAGTAGTGACGGTTTGTGCTCGACCGGAGGGGTTGACTTGCGGCGTTGCGCAAATCCTGCTGGCGTTAGGACACTTCGTATCGGTCCTGCTGAGGTAGGTTTGGGAAAGGACGTAGCAAAAGACGGCTTGACTCTTGGAGGCAAACCCGCAGACGATCCTCTTTTGGCGGCCGCTGATCACGTTCTACATTCTACTTCAGTGCCGGTTGTACCTGCACTTCGTCCTTTTCTACGTCCTGAGAATCTTCTTGTGCGCCGGAGTCCTCCACCACGCCAAACGTCGGGCCTCCGTTGGGCTTGGAATGTCTGTGAATGAGTCGACCCGAAGCGTTGGAGCGCGGGCTGGCTGTCGCGAACCTAACCGAGCTCCCGAACGGCGAGAGCTCGCCGACGTAAATGTCCACCTGGGGCATCACCCACTGCGTGGAGGCGATGACCTTGTCGTGCCCATCGTCGTCGTCGTCGGTGTTTTTACCGGGGGTGTGTGATGAGGCAACAAAGGGCGATGGAAGGTTTCGGGATAGTCGTGCTTCAAGAAACTCAAAACATAGCAAGAGCGTTGGTATAGAGGTACTGCCGGGCGAAGCACCGAGAGACAACGGGGGGGAGCTCGCGGTCTTACGCGCCTACCGGAGATACCGTGTGTGCGGTGTTGTTGTGTTGCGCTCATTATCGTAGTGTCGGTATTCGACAAACGAAAGGTTAGGGGCGCCCAAAGTGCGTTAAGACAACACGATCGACTTGCCGTTGTGCTGGACAAAATCATGGGATGCTGAGCTACGGATAAGATTGAGAAAGCGCCGTATCTCCTTATCAAAATGTTACGGAATTGTGCGAGAGGTATGTCCCCCCCTAAAGGCACACCGAACCCGAAACGAAACGGCCACCTTCATATCCAACCAACGTACGTTGAGCATGATACTCTGTGGCCAAGACTCGAACCGAAGCGTACGTTTTTCTAGGTGGTCAGTCAATCGCCCTCCCACCTGTCTAATTAGCTCAGCTCCGTTAATTGCCCCCGGCGGCCCTTCTCCTGCTGCGAGAGCAGCGACGGCGTCCAGATCCTTGAGCACCGACAACGGCAGCTTTGAAAGTTTCCCTGTGCCAGTTTCTTCCACTATGTTTGCCTTCCCACTCGTGCTGACCACCAACAGAGCGTTCGAGTTGTCGGTAGTTTCTACCAGCAGGGCTTCTCGGCCGCTTTGCAGGAATACCGTTTGTCCTGGAACCACCTGTAACGAACCACCCGACAGTAAATCAACCCGCAGGCCAGGTGAGCCGAGGTCAGGCAAGATTGGATTGAGGCATTGGACGCGATCTCTAGTCCCGCCTGAGGATATGGCCATATCCGAGATAATAAAGTTTTGATCGTTCGTGTCGGAGCAATATTAACTGAGACGAGGCGGGCGTCTGCACTGGAATACAGATTGGGCTTGGCAAGTTATCGATCCAACTATGCATACGGCCAAGCACGGCGAAGCAATATTGCCAAACGCCTTGGGTGGGAGCTACAGCTTTTTGTTGCTGCAAACGAACAGTAGATTGACAATTAGGGAGGTGTTACTTGTTAACTTCTGGGATGGTCTATTGCCAGCTCAACCTGCTCGCCAAACCCACTTTATAGGCGTACCCACCGCCAAAGCTGACATGAACGGAAAAAATCCGCCAAGTGGATACATCGTGGTTGCTTTTTCTGTGAAGACGCTCGACCACCGTGTTAGACATGCAGACCACATGTTTAGCTTTGTTCGACTTGCCTCACTCTCTGGCAAAGTATGTTGCCTCCCTCCTGGCTGCTCGACCACCGCCACCCTCTTGTCTCCCTGGTGAACTAGAACCGCAAGCCTGCCGTCTTTCAGCGTTACCAGCGCTCCTTTCCGCCCGTCGACAGTCTCGGCCGGGGTTGCCGCCTGCACCGGTGTCGAGAACATCAGGTGTTGGGCGGCCCTCTTGCTCGTCTTTGTCTCGTCTCCGGTCGCCACCGCCACAGCAGCAGATACCCTGGGGCTTGATGAATCCCCCGTCTCCTCCGTCGCCATCGCAATAGTAGCCGACGTAGGACTGTCAACGTCCTTTTTGTCGCGTGTGCCTGGTTTTCCACTCCGTTTTGAAGCCCTTTGCCCCGTCTTGCGTTTTGGTGTGTCTACCGTTGCCAGGGCTCCCCTCTTAGTGCCTGGCCCATCGAGGGCGCCTGTTGCTGGTTTGCTACCTCCACCGGTACGGACCATCGCTGACGATGCATCAGTTCTTGCCGTCCTGTCCCTCGAGTGGTCATCAGCGACTGCATTCTTGGAGGCCGTCGGTGACGGCGCCGCAGCAGCAGCGACCTTGAAACCTTTGCAACAGTTGAGAACCCTATCCATAGCCTTTACGCGGACCAGCGCACGTTGTTCTCGGCTCGCCATGGCCATAAACCCAATCTCAAGTTTACGGCACATCTCGGACAGCAGCCATATGTCACCATCCTCGGAGCTTACGGCCGGATTGTTGGCAGTAGATACTCCTCGCGCCTTGGTAGCTTTCGGTTTCGATTTGATCTTCTTCGTCGTGTCGGATGGTTCTAGCGGTATGTCTTCTGGCAGGGTCCGAGCCACTCGAATGAAGTACCAGCCGTCGGCGGACGGCCGGCCTCCCCCGGCTCTAACTAACAGACGTTGGAATCGACCGACAATTTCTCCTCGTCGACCGGGTGTGGTAAGCGCTTTGGCTTGCAGGCCGCTTGTGGCGCCCAGGCCGTCTCTCGCGATGCAATGCATTTCCCTTTGGTAGGGGGTGATCTCTTTAAGGAAAAGGGACTGCTGAGTCTGCTTATGAGAAGACAAGGGTCCCCCGCCACCCCGGTTATCATGATTGCTCAACCGCATGTATTGAGCGGGTGTGAGGCACAGCTCCTCCACACGAGGGGCAACGCCTACATCGAACACGCGCGCTGGGGCTTGTGGCCTTCGGTCCCGCTGCCCTAACCCCGTCCCCCTTTCTTTCTCGGAGGAGCTCTCCTGCCACGTCCCACGGCAGTACACGGCTCCTGGGTCAGAACCACGAGTCTCGAGCACGTCTATTCGCGTGCGAAACGTGATGGTCTCTCGCAGCAGCACAAGGAGTGCCTCCAGCGCGCCATTCTGTGTTGTGTCTTGCTCTCTGAGTGCCTTCCCCAGTGCAGACAGGCCTCTGTTTCGCCGCTCCGTGTAGAGGGCGTCGGCGAGCAAGTTTGCGGCTTCGTGTATAAACTTCACCACCGATTTCTCCGGGTGAACCTCGTCTGGTCGTCCCAGCTCCACGTCACTCCACCCGTCTACCCCCAGCACCCCGACCCGGTTCCCCGCGCTTCGGAGGGGTGCGCACACGAACGGCCACGGCCACGCCTTGCTGCTGTGATCACTGGCACGGATGTCTTCGTCTGCATCGTGGCTCCCATCCTGTTCCGATGATCCTTCCCAGCAAAGCTTCACGTCGAGGTGTTCCAGGGTTATCACCTCTCGCATCCGCCACCCCGGTACTCCCGCCTCTGTCTCCCTGAACTGTTCGTACCTCACGTCGTAGCACTGGTGCCCCCATGCCCGCACGACCGTTGCGGGAAGCCACGACGAGGCATACCACACCTCAACGACGTCACCCACACGAAAGTTCGGCGGTTTCGACCCCCCTTCCTTCGCGGCTTCCTGGAGGCTGACTGGCTCCGGGGCGCCCGCGTCCATCCCGGACGCGGTGCCTTCGCGGTGCTGTATCACACGGATCTCTCCATTGGGATCATCCAGGCAGCTTAGGCCGATGCCTTCGCCCCGACGTAGCTCTCTCCCCTTCATCGCGCTATTGGGGGTGGCCGCCTCGTAGAGCAAGGCGTGTCCACCCGATTGAAGCACACCGACGTACGCGCGGCATCCCGGGAGCACCTTGGAAATCTCGGTTAGGACGGCTTCCTTGGCCTCGTTTCCGGAAGGCTTGCCGTTCAGGCACACGTTCGATAGTTTCTTGAGCGCCTGCGCCCGAATCGCCGCCCGCCGTTCTCTACCTCGCACGCAGGCCAGCGCAACGCCCACTTCGCTGGCAACGCGTGCTGCGAAGGCACCATCTTCGACACTCCCATTTCTGCTGCTGTTTGGAAGTCCATCATGCTGTGCCATTGTTGCGGCAGGACCTCCGGCTTTACTCCAGCCACCGCTCCGTTCAGGGGATCTAGTATGGTCACTTGCTCGGCCCACGCACTTGCTACCATCCTTTACCACCGCGCCATTGGCGCGCCCATTGTTCGGCACCTTAGTCCGAAGGACAAGCGCAAAGCCGCGCGCTAGCCTATCTGCACCGATCCAGGATCTTCCCACCTTGAAACTGTAGTCGCGAAACGGCGCTGCTGCTAGTATCCCGCACGTCATCTTCGGCCGAATGACGAGACCCTTCGGAATGTGCACGGCGTGGTTGGGCTTGGCTGCACTGTGTTTTCTCTTCTTTTGTTTTCCGTAACTGTTCGTCTTTGGCGGTGTGGTTTCGTCTCCCGTGCCCCTGATGGCGGCGTCCGGGATAGCCTCGGGCTCCATCTTCAAGCTAAACTCTTCGGCATCCTCACCATGCAGGAGGCTGTCGACGCGCTCGTTGGAACGGTAATACTTTCGACCTCCTTCGCCTGCCGTGGCGATCAGGCCCTGGACGCAGCGAATACTGCCGTCGTTGTCCAACTGCCACACTTCCGCGAAGTCGATGGACGGCAGGCACTCGACGAGCGATAGCAACGCTAGTTCTAGAACGTCTCGGGACCGGGTGTCCCCGGCCACGGTTACCTGCAGAGACAATGTAGGAAGTTGAAGCGGGAGAACGATTGATACCCTTGCGTTTCTGCCCCGTCCGTTGTACCACGGAGAAAAATGAGGAGAACCAATGGGATACAGGTAGGTGACGTAACAGCGACTATCCGCCCCTCACAGCTTTGTTCAACTCGACCTCCCGAAATATTCTGTTTGCTCTCTGTCGCCCTGTTTTCGAAACATTGCTCGGTTTCACTATTTCAGTAGCGCACGTCACGTGTTAGATGGCCTCACCTTTGCCAGATCAGTCAGATGAATCGCCTTCCTGACCTCATCCAGCACAGGCCCCACGGTTTTTCCGATCCACGTCAGGTGTTCCACGACCTCGGCGGTAAGCGGGACGCCCTTTCCCGCACTTGCATCATCTTCAGCGACTACCTGGCGCATGTACTTCTTGGGGACATTGAGCTGCAAAAGCCCGTCTTCCCACCTAGAAAGCGTAGCGTTGGAACAAACAAGGGGTAGACAGCGGCAGAATGTTAGGTTGTGCCTGTGATCCTTCGCCACACACGACTCCTTGTCAAATGCCTATGTCACGTAGGATTAGAGGATGGCGATCCTGGTGAAACGCATCAGGTGAGTCGATCACGTTCGTGTCTTGCTCCAGATGGCACTGCTGGAAGACAACGCAAACACACGTACAGGATATGCTCGCCGTTGTTCGATACCAGGCGAATGTGCGAGTCGCGATGTAGTCAACAGAGTTTGAACGAAGCTCGAAGTGCAGAATTTCGAGGGGGGCTACGGGCAGGGTGCGCCCACAAAGTCAACCAACCAACTAAACGCACAAGTGCTGTGTTTCGAACCTACTTCTGTGCTATTGGGCACGTCCGGAACACCGTTCCCCACTGCCGTACAAGGCTTCCCTTCCCCCCCTTTGTGGCCAGGTAAGATCGCGGGCACACGAGAGAGGCACACACTTCTTACTGTCCCCGGTGTTCACCATTCGCCTACCAAAGCGCACCCTTTCACTGATGCCATTGCATATGGATTCACCATTTCTTAGGCATGTCAGCGAATTCTCTATTGCCCCGTCCTCGTCCTACGCTCATGTCCTCCCTCCTCCTACCTCACTGTATACACAGGCATGCCGCGCTTGCGCGATATCTTCTCCACAGACCCGTACACCACCTTAGCAGCGGTCCCGGTTGGCAAGTCCTCAAGTTTTCCAATATCCAGCAGCCCTCTCGGCCGAACGAGCTTCAGCCTTTTCACGTTTCGGTTCTCGCCTCTGTTTAGCGGTTCCATCCGGTGCATGAACCAGTCCTGCCAGCTATCATCACCGACCAACGCCCCTGTCGTGAACCCTTGCGCCCCCACCATTCCTATGCACCCACTGTCTCCAGCACCTACGAGAGGTACACAGACCTGCGGCCGGATAACTTCAGATTCTGGACCTGGAATAGGTTTTCGAGAAGCCGCCGCTGTGCCGGGAGGTAGAGGTGATAGCGGCTGCGTTTCGCCTGTTTGGGAAATCTTCGTCTGGAGCTCCTCGAGTTCTGCTTTGCTATCGTCGGTCAACCTCTCAGCATCATGTTTGATGTTCGTTGATGCAGTACGTTGAGCCCCCGTTGCATACCCTGTATCGTCAGTAGAAGGACAACTTTCGACGGAGGACTTCGATTTCGAAGCTTGTTCCCGCTTAGCATCTCCCTCTTGCAGGGAAGAGGTTGAGGCAGCACATTCGTCTTGATCTGCCCCACAACTGTTAGGGTTAATATCTTCTATTCCTATTTCCTCAACTGCCGCCTCAGTTGATGTTGACACGTTCGCGGCACCCGCATCTCCCACAAACCTTTCCTCGCGTTCGTTTGCCGCCGAACCGACCACAACCGCTGTCTCCACGTCGACGCACTTGAAAACGGTATCGGGGTTGGGTAGTTGACCGTCACCCGTAGACGTACGCTCCCAGGGACGCTCTTCGTCTTGCTCCAGCGCCCCAACCTTAAAGGTGACATCAGCGTTGTCAACCTGCTGTTGCTGTTGTTTTTGCATCACAATTGAAGCAGTCAAACCCTGTTGTTTGGCTTCAGGGTCTTGCCGTTGTACGTCTCCGTCTCTTCGAACGGTGGCTTGGACATGCTGGCCTCTCGATGATGGGCACATGACTTCCGCAATAGTCCGCCCAGGCTTCAAAAAGCCGACAAAAATGCTGCAGCTACGGTTGGGTTAACGTGTTGACGTGAGCACACACAAGGGGCAAGTTTGGCCGGGACAATCAGTTTGTCACAAGTACACCGCTCGGAAGAACCACATGCTTGCAGCAGTACATGCCGGGTACTCGCTCGCAGAGGACAACGGGGCATCCAGCTTTGGAGAGAAACGGAGCCCGGACATACTTGCGGAAACGCCCGTACCGGTCTCGGGAAAAGCATTTTAAATACGGTACACTGCTGTGTATGCCACCACACCGTGCGCTGTACGGAATGCCTTCAACAAAACACAAGTTCCCACCTAGTGAGATAGGTTTGAAGCTCTCGGATGAGATCGTCAGTGACGAGCGATACGCAGTCGGCGTGCTTCCGGCCTTCGCAGAGAGCCTTGATTCGACGGCGAGATTCGCGCTGCGCCTGGCGCATGGACAGCACGTCTTCGTCGCCGGGGTAATAGATCTCATCGCTGTCGAACTCCCCTACCAGCTTTGCCTCTCGCTGTCGCCGCCCTGTAACAAGGGCGGCAATGCGCTCCTGCTCCAAACGAGCCTACCCAGTTTGAACGAAAATAAGAAGAGTGAGACTGCTGCGCAAGCACGATTTCTGTATCACACAGAACAGCTGGGTAGCTGGGTAGACCATGCAACTGGACAATGTGTCGAAGGAATCCGGGAAGACGAGAAATTCTACTGCAATACAGTAGTCTATTCCAGAAATAACGAGGTTGTGATTTATTCAAGGTAAACCACAATGCATGTATGCGTTCCAGTATTACCTGTTGTGGTCTTGCCGGCGTTGGCTCGACACGAGGTCAGAAAATACCGCGTGTGTTCTCAATTCTCAGGTTGTTTGCCCAAGCTAACGGCCTCGTCTCCGATCACACATTGAAGATGGGTTGTTGTGTCGCCAAGAAGCTGCAGTTGTTGTATACAGTTGCGATTAGTCCACCATAGTTGCCTATGCTCTACAGTCTACGAGGAACTAGTACTATCCACGGTAGACTACACGAAGACTATTTACTTGTATGTACTTGGTATGTATGTATGTAGTCGGACCGAGACTATATCTACTGCTGTCTGACCGCCGTTAGATTAAAGTTTTCGCAGGAATATATTCCCCCCCGAAACTCGCGTACGATACAGCTGTGAGACGTCCTTACATGACGCCAGTGACAACAGTACCACTCGACACGCAAGGGCGCGTGTGCGCGCGTGTCAGTGAACGATGTACATGCGTGCTCTCATGGCCTACTTGCACGGCTAGAAAGATCGTATCCATTCGCACCAGTTCGGCTTCGTTCGGGGCCTCTTTCGCCAAGGCATCGAGGTTGCTGAAGAAATCCGCCACCAGACGCTTAGCGCGCCTGATCCTGGTCCTGTTGTACTGACCAACGTCGGCCCCATCCATTGCGATTCACAAGTAAGGCACCGGGACGCTCTGGTGGACCTGCCCTGCTGCCGTTGGCCAGTGGATGGATTGCATTGTGTGTATGCCACACACGACCCCCCCCCACCCCCCCCATGTTGTCTCTTCTCCATCCAGCGAGCCCCGAACCCGCCTATCTCTCTGGTTGACGATGGGATCCGTGCGCACACGCACCTGTGCGCAGCTGGTAAGGAGTAGCACCTGCGCGATCCTTTTGGGTTTTCCGCTGAACGTCCCCTCGAAAGCACCGAGTCCGGCGGATCGCTGCGCGATCTTCTTCAACGTGCGTAGGCGGCGTGCGGGCAAACTTTTTGGGCGTAGTTTTTGGAAGCAACAGCCAGTGACCCACACAAGGGTACATAGGTGACAGCAGCCCCAACGAAGCAGCCTTGCGGCGGTTTCCAGAATCAGTGTCAATCAACCTTGGCCAAGGAGGGGGGGGTGCACCGGGAGCAGTGGCGATCAGAAGCTGGGGAGGGAAGGAGGGAAAGAATAAGGAACAGCCGCACCTTCAACCTGCAAAACCATCAGCTATACTTGTAAAGGCTTCGAAACGTCGAGAGCGAAAGAGGCAGCTACGGGTCAGGGTTACAGACCCACAGCAGCCCGGTCTCCCGGAGGGAGAGAAACCGGCTACAGGATTAGCCAATCGGGAACGCACTGGGCAGGCGCGGGGGTGGGTGGCGGAGGACCTAGACCAGGTGTGTGCGTGTTTGTGTATGGATCGTGCTTGGCAGCCCCTCTTCTCTTCGCCGCGTGCAGCCGGGCTGCTGTCTCTTTCTGGAGGCGGCGGATTCCACCTCTTTACCGGCCGCCGCCGCCCCCGCCGCCGCCGCGTGGAGAGTAAGGAGCGGCAGGCAGGACTCGACGATACACATACCCCAGCGCGTCAACCTTTCTCTTCTCAGCGAGCGCCTTCCTTACAACGCCGCGTTTTGAGGGTGTGTCCTCTTGGTGTCAACAAGTGAATTTGCCGAGTCCGTGCTGCGGTTGGGTCTTGCAAGAGCAGAGCGATCCGCATGGGCAGCACTGCTGACGACCTTGGTTCAATCTTCCTTCACTCGAGTGCGTTCACGGAACCTCCGTCTTTTCAAAGGCGTACCATCCGTTGCTTGGCACACACCCTACCCCCCATGCTTTAGTGTGGATTTTGTGTGGCTCCAGACGTCATTTGCATCGATCCACCTTGTGGCCGCGGCGTGCTGTGTGGACAACGAGTCGTGATTCGAGAGGGCAGCATACATGGAATCGTGAACGCTTCTCGATGTCAATATCCACAGGGACTCACACACCTGGCACGAAGGGATCTATCGTGGGTACAGCAGCAGTAGATGATGCATTCGGCTTACTTAGTTTTCGCTGCGAAGGGCTCTCATGCTTTCATGTCTCAGCAAGCTGTGCTGTTCTGAGGATTTTCGCGTGGGTCGAGCGGCACATGCGACTAAATAAAGTCGTTGCCTAGATCTGCAGGAAGGATCACCGATGTGACGCCTAATATCACCCCCGTCGAACGTCGAGTATGCATACGATAAATGGCCCCTTGCTCTCGTTAAGATCCCACCCCACTACAAGGATTGTTTTGAGAAGTTCGACACGTCTGGCGAAGGCATCAGCCGAGAACATTGAAGTACACCTAATACAACCGTCCCGCTTGAGAGAGTATATTGGACAGAACAAGCACAATTTGTCGCGTCTTGGAACTTGGAAGAGATTTGACACGAGACTGAGAAGCTCCAAGTTACGCAGTGAGACACTTCGGTAGAGTAGACACGTAGACACTCACAGAGGGCAACGAATACCGGGTTGAGCAGCTAGCCCCAACATGACTACGGTAGCAGTCGAACATGATACGTACGCGCTTCTCTTAGCCCTACGAGATCAGGTACTTCATGTAACTACATACAGGTCCGATTCAGTTTGAAGTTCCGATACAGCGTATACAACGTGGGGGTCTCAGTTTAGTGACCCCCTGTTTAGCGACCACAAAATCGCGTGGCACCGCCGCGCCTCGGTAGAAGTACTGCTATGCTAGACTATATTATTATTATCGGTTTAGCGACCTGCCCTGAACAGCGGCCACATTTCGACGTTTTCGCATCTAGCGCTGCTAGTAGTGCGCTTGCCGCATCCTCTGTCCAGGGATGAGGAGGCCCTTGTGCCAACAGGTAGGTATATTGCTATTGCTTGCACAGGTACATCCTCTATGCGGACGGTTGTTATCAGAGAGAGGCATGCGCGTGCCAGCACACTGCTACTGTAATCTTTCACTCTCCTCGTACTACTCCTGTTGGTCACCCGTACGTAGATACGCGGGTGCCCCCTTTCCTGTGAGCCCCACATATGGACTCAACCTCACTGCTGTACCGCCCTTGCCTCCGTGATTTGTGTGTGTATACACGCGTGTCGTGTAAGATCTTGGAGGAAAATTGTGGGAAGGAAAAAAAAAGAGTCAAACCATCCCAGTCACGAAAAGATTTAAGCGTTGCTCAACATGAGAGAAGAGTAAATAGACTCGTAGGACTGGTGTAGGGTCTACTCTTTCCTCTCGGCCAGTGAACGCTTCGTTTTCATTCCCTCTCTCCCATACGGCATAAAATTTTGTCGTCAAAGTCGTGCCCCAAGCCTCCCTACCTACGTTGCCACGCCGGTCGAACGTTTTTCGAGTTGCGCTTTTTCTCCACTGAGGAGAAGGCTGCTCAGCGGTAGTCTCCATCTTCTCTCTTGTTTTCGACGTAAACGAAAACCACAACACACGACATGTACTTGCTTTTCCTCCAAGTCGATCCTTTTGTAGGTGGCATTCTCGGTGTGTGTGCGTCTTGTGAATGCGGTAGGTTGCACTATATACCACACCCCCTGTGGCCGATTTTCGAAGCTCGATGACTCCACGGCGGTGCCAGAACCAAATGATCCATTTTTGGAAGGCTCTCGAAAAAGACTGTTCCAACTCCGACATTTTCGGCACCGTCGCTGTTTTTGTCCCAGAGAAATGAAGCTTTGAAAATCGGTCCAGGGGGGGTAGTATCTTATACTTCCGAAGTACAACCTACTTCGATATTTCTCGATCCATGAAATGTGTTGTGACAGGGGGGATGGAGGGGGGGGGGGGTGGAACGAGGGGGGCGGGGGGACAATCGCACCACCTGGCCTTCCTTGTCTTCAGCCATTGTGTATGCGTAACAGTATAGCTCTTGAGGCATGGTGCCCCAACACGTTTTGTGTGTTGGACTTTGCTTGCCTATGTCTCTTGCCACAAAAAAAATAACAATGCTCTCTTTCCGTGTAACTAAATCGCTGTTGCAAGTTTGTATTCTCCGAACCTGCGGCATTCGAGAAAACCTATGATAGGAGTTAACCCCGGTCCAAGTCGTTGTTTCTGTCGAGCTTGACACGACCCCCCTCCCCATCTTTTTCGAGAACGATACATAATTGATCCCCTATCCGTCGCCCCTTCCCGTACCTCTCTTCTGCTGCGCTCAGTGAAGAAGAAGCGGCTGTCTTCAGCAGCAGCGGCATCATCATCATCATCGGCAGTAGCCGCGGCGCTCTGGTCGCGACAGCCTTCGTTCTCCGCAACCAAACCAGCAAGCATGCTCGGGGCAGGCGGCGGCGGTAGTAGCGGCAGCACGCGGTCCGCCTCCTCCACTACAGCCTCCGGGCGACCAAGCCGAGAGATCGGGCTGAGGACCAGGGGCCAAACGGGCGCGGGCACTGCAGGCGGGGGGGGAGGGTCGCACGCGGGGGGGGGGGCGGGGGCTGGGGACTGCGTGGGGGCGCTGACTCGGTTTGACAGCTCTCTGGGGCTCCTGACGAGGAGGTTCGTGGACCTGATCCAGGCCGCCCCGGGGGGCACGCTGGATCTCAACGCTGCGGCTAAGGATCTGGACGTTCAGAAGGTGTGTGTTGCAGTGTGGAACACTGAGGGGGGGAGGAGGAATGAGAGAGGTTTGGGGCGTGCGCGGAAGAGTAAGAGTTGCACACGGACAACCACGTTGTCCGAAATTGTCGCCAAGGTTGGAGGTGTTGCCCTGGGTAGGGGAGGAGGGAAATGGACCAGCTTAATCGATCGATGGCGGTGGATTGGCAAGGAAAAACGGACGCCTTAGTTTTACACGACCCTTTCCGTATCTTCGGAATGGTGTACCAGAAAGAACCAGCGGAAGCTCATCAACTTTTGGCTGGCCATTTTGGTGGACCTTCGGCCGAAGCGCTGGGTAGATGCCAACGGTTGCATCTCAGTTGTTTTGGTTTTTCCTTTGTTGGAAGGATTTCCCAATGAATCTCGTGTCCTAATATTATAGCTCTTCGCGACACTGTATATGGTTCAGTTGTCGCTGAGCTCTCTCAATGGCATGTTGGGTCTTTTCTATTCAGAATTCCGACCCGATTATCAAATCCCTCCCAAGTTTTGTGCACAATCTCTGCAACTACGTGCACGGTGCTATGGTACGGTTGCGTCCATCGAATAGCGGCTACAGCAGCGCTGGGTGCAACCTGTAACGTTTTATTCCAGTAGATTGCACCACAACGGACGGGAGAGTGGTGGGTCGAACACCCATCGTCGTATGATGTCTGCCGGGGATCCAGCAGAAGACAAAACGGTTCCAGACCGCAGAGGTGCTTCCGAGTGTAGGACCTGCTGCTGTTGCCACTGGATGGTGGCGGCGGAGAGAGGTTCGCGCCCATCATGAAACGCGCGGAGGTAGGTCTTGACCTCCTCCCTGCAGACAACCAGTCGTGTCTACCGACGTCTGTCTTTCAAGCCTGCTGAAGGTTTTGCTCAGGCCGACCATGGCACGGAAGCTGGCCGATCCGTCAGTGTCTTTAGCGTGGTTGGCCTGAACAAGACCTTCGGCAGGCTCGAAAGTGGACTTAGTTGTCTCCCGAGGTCTCTGTAGAGCCTACCGCAGGTCTTGCTCAAGACCTATGCATACCACGCTTCAAACGCTGAGGGATATTCCGACCATTAAGCTTGACCGAGGGGGTGGCGATGAGGTCGCGCTCTTGGTCAAGCTTCATGCTCGGGGTTGCCGTGAGCCTACGTAGCATGGTCGGCCTGAGCAAGAGCTTGAGCAGGCTCTCAAAGGCGCCGTGTGGCGGACGCCATGTCTTCCAACGTCTGTAGAGCCTCCGTACACTCTTGCACCGACCTACCACGCTACAGAAGCTGAGGGATATTCCGACCACGAAGCTTTTCCGAGAACGTGGCGATGAGGTCGCGCTCTTGGTCAAGCGTCATGCTTGGGGTCGCCTTTAGCCTACGTAGCATGGTCGGCCTGAGCAAGAGCTTCCGCGGGCTCTAAAGACGTCGCGAGACATGACGGGCTGTCTGCAGGCAGGAGGTCAAGACGTACCTCCATGCGAATATTGTGGAGCGCGAGCCTTCCCTCATGAACTCTCCGCTGCCACCATCCAGTGGCAGCAGCAGCAAGTCTTGCGCTCGGTCGCACCTCCGCGGTCTGGAGAAGCTTTGTCTTCTGCTGGGGCGTTGTCATCAAGCTGGACGTGCCGCGAGCCTGGTCTTGCTGTCGGGGCTAATTATTGAGACGGTCGTCTCCGGGTTCGCGCTGCGGCTCAATGTTGAAAGACACACGTGGTTCAACCTCTCTTGAGAAAGGGAGAACGCGGTGTACGATATGGATTGTGAGAGACGCGGCAGCTGGCCCGTTGTATTTGTACGCGGGTTCAGCGTGACCGCTAACTCTATCTGTGGCAGCACCCCCGAAGGTTGTAGATCTCCGACAGGTCATCTGACGTCACAATCTACGAGACATTCTGAGGAGACATTCTCAGCAGTAGTGGACGTGACGTCACACTTGCTCCTTGACAAGAATACCTGCTGCACAGGAACGTTCCCCTTCAATTCCACCACCCCCAGCGAAATTCCTCGAAAGACATATTACCCTCCCCGTTTCTCTCTCTGACACCTTCCCCCCTCCCCCGCGCTACGCCCAACAAACTACTAGCGGCGTATTTATGACATCACGAATGTCCTGGAGGGGATCGGCTTGATCCACAAGACCTCCAAGAACCACATCCAGTGGAAGGGGAAGGGGGACGGTTTGGGGGAGGGCAACACCGAGGAGGAGAACGAAGCGCAAGTGAGAGCCAGGGGCAAAGGGAGGGAGAGAGGGAGGGAGGGGGGCACGAGAGCGCGCGCGCGTGGCGGGGGGGGTGGGGGGGGGGGGTTCCCCTTTTAACCCGTGCCCCAATGCCGTAGTCGGGAGGGCCTTTTGGGGGGGACGATTTTTGTCGGCCCCTGCTTTTTTTTTAAAGGGTTTTTTTCATTTTCTTAACCTTTTCCGCCCACTGGGGGGCCCTCGAGGATGGATTTTGAGGGGCCCATTTCCCCTATAATGGGTCGTATTTCAATTTTCTGGGCGTCGTTTTTTAACGTCGTGGCTGGGAAAACCCTGGGGTTTCCCCACTTTATTGCCTTTGAGGACATTCCCCTTTTTCCCGCTGGGGTAATAACGAAAAGGCCCCCCCCCATTGCCCTTTCCCACAATTTCGCCCCCTGAATGGGGAATGGACCCCCCCTTTAGCGGCCCCTTTAACGCGGGGGGGGTGGTGGTTTCCCCCCGCGTGGCCCCTTCACTTTTCAGCGCCCTTGCGCCCGCTCCTTTTGCTTTTTTTCCTTTCTTTTTCGCCCCGTTTCCCGGGTTT